TCCCCATTTTTAGGGTGATTTCCTCCCTTTTTGGGACAATTTCTCCCTTTTTGGTTGATTTTCCAATTTTTTGGGTTGATTTTCCCCATTTTTAGGCTGATTCCCTCCATTTTTTGGGTTGATTTCCCCCTTTTTTTGGGGTGATTTTCCCCATTTTTATTGTGATTTCTTCCCTTTTTGGGACATTTTTTTCCCTTTTTGGGTTGATTTTCTCCTTTTTGGGTTGATTTCCCTCCATTTTCAGGTCGATTCCCTCCATTTTTGGTTCATTTCTCCCTTTTTGGTTCATTTCTCCCCTTTTTGGCTGATTTCCTCCCTTTTTGGGACAATTTCTCCCCTTTTTGGGTTGATTATCCCCATTTTTAGGCTGATTCCTCCATTTTTTGGGTTCATTTCCCCCTTTTTGGGTTGATTTCCCCATTTTTGGGTTGATTTCCCCCTTTTTGGGTTCATTTCCCCATTTTTGGGTTCATTTCCCCCTTTTTGGGTTCATTTCCCCTTTTTGGGTTCATTTTCCCATTTTTGGGTTGATTTTCCCATTTTTGGGTTCATTTCCCCATTTTTGGGTTCATTTCCCCATTTTTGGGTTGATTTCCCCATTTTTGGGTTGATTTCCCCCTTTTTGGGTTCATTTACCCCTTTTTGAACCATTCCCCAAACCCCTCCCTCTGATCCCTGGCATTTCCCCCAATTTCCCTCCCAATCAAGGCTGATCCACCCCAATTAATTCCACTCCACTCTAATTGAGCACAAACCCCACCAAATATCCCCAACCACCAAAAACCCCAACCCCAAAACTCCCCCCAGAAATTCTCAATTTTGGGGTGGGCAGAATTTTGAGGAAACCCCAAAAAAACCCGAAAAAAACCCAAAAAACCCAAAAAACCCTCAAAAAATCCCAAAAAACCCCAAAAAACTGGAAAAAAACTGGAAAAAAACTGGAAAAAAACCCCAAAAATCCCCCAAAAAACCCAAAAAAAACCCCAAAAAAACCCAAAAAAACCCGAAAAAAACCCCCAAAAAACCCCCAAAAAACTGGAAAAAAACTGGAAAAACCCCCGAAAAAAACCCAAAAAAACCCGAAAAAACCCCAAAAACCCCAAAAAGTCCCAAAAAAACCCCAAAAAAACCCAAAAAACTGGAAAAAACCCCCAAAAAAACCCCCAAAAAACCCCAAAAAATCCCAAAAAAACCCCAAAAAACTGGAAAAAACCCCGAAAAGACCGAAAAAAACCCCAAAAAAACCTGAAAAACCCTAAAAAAACCCCAAAAAACCCAAAAAACCCTCAAAAAATCCCAAAAAAACCCCAAAAAAACCCCCCAAAAACTGGAAAAAAACCTGAAAAAAACTGGAAAAAAACCCCAAAAATCCCAAAAAACCCGAAAAAAACCCGAAAAAATCCCCAAAAAAATCCCGAAAAAACCCCAAAAAAACCCCCAAAAAACTGGAAAAAAACCCCCAAAAAAAACCCAAAAAAAAAACCCGAAAAAAAACCCCAAAAAACCCGAAAAAAACCCCGAAAAAAACCCGAAAAAACCCCAAAAAACCCAAAAAAAACCCCGAAAAAACCCGAAAAAACTGCAAAAAACCCCAAAAAAACCCGAAAAAAACCCCCAAAAAAACCCAAAAAATCCCCAAAAAACCCCAAAAAAACCCAAAAAACCCCCAAAAAACCCCCAAAAAACCCGAAAAAAAACCAAAAAAACCCCAAAAAAACTGGAAAAAAATGGAAAAAACCAAAAAAAAACTTCAAAAAAACCCAAAAAAATCCCCAAAAAAACCCAAAAAAACCCAAAAAAACCCAAAAAAAACCCCAAAAAACTGGAAAAAAAAGCCGAAAAAAACCGAAAAAAACCCGAAAAAACCCCCCAAAAAACCCGGAAAAAAACCCCAAAAAAATCCCAAAAAATCCCCAAAAAACCCCAAAAAAAAACCCCAAAAACCCCGAAAAAACCCCCGAAAAAATCCCAAAAAAACCCCAAAAAAATCCCCAAAAAATCCCCAAAAAACCCCCAAAAAACTGGAAAAAAAACCCCGACGAAACCCCGAAAAAAACCCCGAAAAAACCCCCAAAAAACTGGGAAAAAACCCGAAAAAAACCCCCAAAAAAACCCCAAAAAATCCCAAAAAAACCCCCAAAACCCCCAAAAAACTGCAAGAAAACCCGAAAAAAACCCCCAAAAAACCCTAAAAAAACCCCAAAAAACTGGAAAAAACCCAAAAAAAACCCAGAAAAAACCAAAAAACCCCCAAAAAATCCCCAAAAACCCCCAAAAAAAACCCGAAAAACAGCCCAAAAAAACCCCAAAAAAATCCAAAAAAAATCCAAAAAAAACCCGAAAAAAACCCCAAAAAACTGGAAAAAATGAAAAAAACCCCAAAAAAAACCCCAAAAACCCAAAAAAAACCCAAAAACTGCAAAAAAACCTGAAAAAAACCCCCAAAAATCCCAAAGAAACCCGAAAAAAAACCTGAAAAGACCCCCAAAAAACTGCAAAACAACCTGAAAAAACCCCAAAAGAACCTGAAAAAATCCCCCAAAACCCCAAAAATCCCCAAAAAAACCCCCAAAAGTTTATTTTTTCTCCCAGAGGGCAAAGGTCAGCGGGAGAAGCTGGAGCTGGTGGCCTCCTTCTCCTTCTTTGGCAACGTGATGTCCATGGCCAGCGTGCAGCTGGCTGGGGCCAAGAGGGACGCGCTGCTGCTCAGCTTCAAGGATGCCAAGGTAGGGGGAACAGGGGGGAAATGGTACAAAAATATCCTACAGAAAGCTGAAAAATGTCCTGAAAAAATCCCATAAAAATATCCTGCAAAAATCCCATAAAAATCCTACAGAAATCTGAAAAAAAATCCTACAAAAATCCTACAGAAATCTGAAAAATGTCCTGAAAAAATCCTACAGAAAGCTGAAAAATGTCCTGAAAATATCCTACAGAAAGCTGAAAAATGTCCTAAAAAACATCCCATAAAAAATCCTGCAAAAAATCCTACAAAAAATCCTACAGAAATCTGAAAAATGTCCTAAAAAAATCCCATAAAAAATCCTGCAAAAATCCCATAAAAAAAACCCACAGAAATCTGAAAAATGTCCTAAAAAAAATCCTAAAAAAATCCTGCAAAAATCCCATAAAAAATCCTACAGAAATCATAAAAATGTCCTTAAAAAATCCATAAAAAATCCTACAAAAATCCCATAAAAATCCTCCAAAAAATCCTACAGAAATCTGAAAAATATCCTAAAAGAAAATCCTATAAAAATCCTAAAAAAATCCCATAAAAATCCCATAAAAAATCCTACAAAAATCCTACAAAAATCCCACCAAACATCCTACAAAAATCCAAAAAAATCCTATAAAAATACAAAAAAATCCCACTGAAAATCCTCCAAAAATCCTACAGAAATCTGAAAAATATCCTAAAAAATCCTACAAAAATCCTAAAAAATCCCACAAAAAATCCCACCAAAAATCCTACAGAAATCTGAAAATGTCCTAAAAAAATCCCACAAAAAATCCTACAGAAATCTGAAAAATATCCTTAAAAATCCTATTAAAATCCCACAAAAATCCCATAAAAAATCCTGCAAAAAAATCCTACAGAAATCTGAAAAATGTCCTCAAAAAAATCCCATAAAAATCCTACAAAAATCCCACTGAAAATCCTCCAAAAAATCCTACAGAAATCAGAAAAATATCCTAAAAAATCCTATAAAAATCCCATTAAAAATCCTACAGAAATCATAAAAATATGCTAAAAAAATCCTATAGAAAGACTAAAAAAATCCCACTGAAAATCCTCCAAAAAATCCTACAGGAATCTGAAAAATGTCCTAAAAAAATCCTATAAAAATCCTACAAAAATCCCATAAAAAATCCTGCAAAAAATCCTACAGAAATCTGAAAATATCCTGGAAAAAAATCCTATAAAAAATCCTGCAAAAATCCCATAAAAAATCCTACAGAAATCTGAAAAATGTCCTAAAAAAATCCCATAAAAAATCCGACAGAAATCAGAAAAATATCCTAAAAAAATCCTAAAAATATCCTAAAAGAATCCCATAAAAATGGTACAAAAATCCTAAAAAAATCCTTAAAAAATCCTACAAAAATCCTAAAAAATCCCACAAAAAATCCTACAGAAATCATAAAAATATCATTAAAAAATCCCATAAAAATCCTACAGAAATCTGAAAAATGTCCTAAAAAAAATCCTAAAAAAATCCTAAAAAATCCCATAAAAATCCTACAGAAATCAGAAAAATATCCTTAAAAAAATTCTATAAAAATCCTAAAAAAATCTCACTGAAAATCCTCCAAAAAATCCTACAGAAATCATGAAAATATCCTAAAAAAATCCCACAAAAGTCTAAAAATATCCTAAAAAAATCCCATAAAATCCTACAAAAATCCCATTAGAAAATCCTAAAAAAATCCCAAAAATATCCTAAAACAAATCCCATAAAAAATCCTACAAAAATCCCATAAAAATCCTACAAAAATCCCACAAAAATCCTAAAAACATCCTACAAAAATCCTAAAAAAATCCCATGAAAAAATCCTAAAAAAATCCTAAAATATCCTACAAAAATAATAAAAATATCCCAAAAAAATCCTAAAAAATCCCATTAAAATCCTGCAAAAATCCTAAAAATATCCTAAAAAAACCTACAAAAATCCTAAAACAATGCTATAAAAATACAAAAAAATCCCACTGAAATCCTCCAAAAAATCCTACAGAAATCAGAAAAATATCCTAAAAAATCCTATAAAAATCCTAAAAAATCCCCAAAAAATCCCACCAAAAATCCTACAGAAATCATAAAAATATCCTAAAAAAAAATCCCACAAAAAATCCTACAGAAATCTGAAAAATGTCCTAAAAAAAATCCTACAAAAATCCTAAAAAAATCCACTGAAAATCCTACAAAAAATCCGAAAAAAATCCATAAAAAATACTAAATAAATCCCATTAAAAATCCTACAAAAATCCTAAAAATATCCCGTGAAAAAATCCTAAAAAATGCTAAAAAAATCCCACCAAAAAATCCCATAAAAAATACTAAATAAATCCCACAAAAAATCCACAAGAAATGCTAAAAAAATCCTAAAAAAGTCCTAAAAAATCCTAAAAAATCCACAAAAATCCTAAGAATATCCTAAAAAAATCTTAAAAAAATCCTACAAAAATCCTAAAAAAATCCCATCAAAAAATCCTAAAGAAACGCTAAAAAATCCCATTAAAAATCCCATAAAAAATCCTAAAAAATCCCACAAAAAATACTAAAAACATCCTATAAAAAATCCCATAAAAAATCCTACAAAAATCCTAAAAATATCCCATCCAAAAATACTAAAAATATCCTATTAAAAAACTCAGCAAAAAATCCTAAAGAATCCTAAAAAAATCCACAAAAAAAAAATTTAAAAAAAAAAATCCCCACCAAAAAATAAAATCCTAAACAATCCCTCAAAAAAATCCTAAAAAATTTCCTAAAAAATTTCCTAAAAAACCCTAAAAAAATCCTAAAAAAACCCACAAAAAATGAAAAAAAATCCTAAAAATCCCACAAAAAATCTTTAAAAAATCCCACAAAAAAAAATCCTAAAAAAATCCTAAAAAAATCCCACAAAAAAAATCCCACAAAAAACCCAAAATCCTAAACCAACCCCACAAAAAAAGAATCCTAAAAACATCCCACAGAAAAAATCCTAAAAAAATCCCAGAAAAAAACCTAAAAAAACCTAAAATAATCCCACAAAAAAAAAATCCTAAAAAAATCCCCCCAAAAAAAAATCCAAAAAAAAATCCCAGAAAAAAGCCCCAAAAACCCAAAAAGCCCCAAAAATGCCCCAAAACCTCAAAAACCCTGAAAAAACCCCAAACCCCATAAAAACCCCAAAGCCCCACCCCAAAAACTCAACCCCAAAACCCAGGAAAAAACCCAAAAAATAAATGAAAATCCCCAAAGCCCCAAAATCCCAGAAAATGCAGAAAAAACCCAAAAGCCCCAGAAACTGCCCCGAAAATAAACCCCAAAAAGGAAACAAAACTAAAATCCAAAAAACCCAGAAAAAAAACAAAAATCCCCAAAGAATCCCCCAAAAAAACCCAAAAATCCCAAAATTCCCCCCAAAAAACCCCAAAAAATCAAAAAAAACCCTAAAAATCCCCCAAAACCCCAAAAAATCCCCCCAAACCCCCTAAAAATCTCCAAAAAACCCCAAAAGTCCCCCAAAAATCCCCAAAAAAACCCAGAAATCTCCCAAAAAACCCCAAAAATGCCCCAAAAAAACCAAAAATCCCCCCAAAAAACCCAAAAATATCGCCCAAAAAGCCCCCCAAAATCCCCCAAAAAACAAAAAATGCCCCAAAATCCAAAAATCCCCTGAAAAACCCCAAAAATCCCCAAAAAATCACCCAAAAAAAACCCAAAAATTCCCCCAAACCCCAAAGATCCCCCAAAAACCCCAAAAAACCCCAAAATCTGCCTAAAAAACCTCCAAATCCCCCCAAAATCCCCTAAAAAATCCCCAAAAAATCCCACAAAAAACCCCAAACCCCCAAAAATCCAAACAAAAAATCCCCAAAAGCCCCAGACAAAAACCCCAAAAATCCCCAAAAACCCCAAAAACCCAAAAAGAACACAAAATCCCCAAAACCCAAAAAAATCCCCCAGAAACCCCAAAAAACCCCCAAAACACAAAAAAATCCCCCAAAAATCCAAAAATCCCCCAAACAATCCCAAAGAACCCCAAAAAAACCCCCAAAAATCCCCAAAAACACCAAAAATGCCAGAAAAAACCTGAAAAAACCCAAAACCCCCAAAAACCCAAACAAAAAATCCCCAAAACACCCAGAAAAAAACCCAAAAATCCCTGAAAAACCCCAAAAAATCCCCAAAAAAACCCCAAATCCCCCCAAGCAATCCCCAAAATCCCCTAAAAAAACCCAAAGATCCCCCAAAAAACAAAAAAAATCCCCAGAAACCCCAAAAAAAACCCCAAAACACAAATGCCCCCCAAATCCCCCAAAAACCCCAAAATCCCCAAACGATCCCCAAAATCCCCTAAAAAAACCAAATCCCCGAAAAAACCCCAAAACCCCCCAAAAATCACCGAAAAAACCTCCAAAAAAAAGCCCCAAAAGCCCAAAATCCCCAAAAAAAACCCAAAATACCCCAAAAATCCCCAAAAAATCCCCAAAAATCCCCAAAACCCCCAAATCCCCAGAGAAAAACCCCAAAAATCCAAACCCCCCCAGGGTTGGGGTGCCCGAACTCAGTTTGGGGCTCCAGAGCTCAGGGTTGGGGTGCCCTGGGTGACTTGGGGTGCCCTAAGTGGTTTTTGGGGTGCCATTGATAACTTTGGGGTGCCATGGATGACTTTGGGGTGCCCTCACTCAGTTTTGGGGTGCCATTGATAACTTTGGGGTGCCATCGATGTCTTTGGGGTGCCCTGGATGATTTTGGGGTGCTGTGGATGACTTTGGGGTGCTGTGGATGATTTTGGGGTGCCCTCACTCATTTTTAGGGTGCCATTGATAATTTTAGGGTGCCATTGATAACTTCGGGGTGCTGTAGATGATTTTGGGGTGCCATTGATGTCTTTGGGGTGCCATGGATGTTTTTGGGGTGCCATTGCTAATTTTAGGGTGCTGTTGATAACTTTGGGGTGCCCTACTCCATTTTTGGGGTGCCCTGGATGATTCTGGGGTGCCATTGATAACTTTGGGGTGCCATTGATAACTTTGGGGTGCCCTTGCTGATTTTGGGGTGCTGTAGATGATTTTTGGGGTGCCCTGGATGACTTTGGGGTGCCATTGATAACTGTGGGGTGCCATGGATGATTTTAGGGTGCTGTTGATAACTTTGGGGTGCCCTAACTCAATTTTGGGGCACCATAACTCAATTTTAGGGTGCCCTTGCTGATTTTGGGGGTGCCCTTGCTGATTTTGGGGTGCTGTGTCTCATTTTTGGGGTGCCGTTGGTAACTTTGGGGTGCCCTTGCTGTTTTTGGGGTGCCATGGATGTTTTTGGGGTGCTGTGTCTCATTTTCGGGGTGTCATGGATGTTTTCGGGGTGCCATTGATGTTTTTGAGGTGCTGTATCTCATTTTTGGGGTGCCATTGATGATTTTGGGGTGCTGTGTCTCATTTTTGGGGTGCCGTTGGTAATTTTGGGGTGCTGTGTATGATTTTGGGGTGCCATGGATGTTTTTGGGTGCCTTTCCCAGCTGTCAATGGTGGAGTACGACCCATTTTTGGGGTGCTGTAACTCATTTTTGGGGTCCCATGGATGTTTTTGGGGTGCCGTATCTCATTTTTGGGGTGCCATTGGTAATTTTGGGGTGCCATGGATGTTTTTGGGGTGCCATATCTCATTTTTGGGGTGCCATTGGTAATTTTGGGGTGCCATGGATGTTTTTGGGGTGCTGTGTCTCATTTTGGGGTGCTCTTGCTGATTTTGGGGTGCTGTATCTCATTTTTGGGGTGCTGTATCTCATTTTTGGGGTGCCCTCACTCATTTTTGGGGTGCCCTGTCTCATTTTTGGGGTGCCATTGCTGATTTTGGGTGCCGTTCCCAGCTGTCCGTGGTGGAGTACGACCCCGGCACCCACGACCTCAAGACTCTGTCCTGCACTACTTCGAGGAGCCGGAGCTCAGGGTGAGCCCAAATTCACCCCAAAACCCCCAAATTCACCCCTAAACCCCAAATTCACCCCAAAATCCCCCCAAATTCACCCCAAAACCCCACAATTCACCCCAAAATCCCCACAATTCACCCCAAAATGGATTTGGGGTTCCTCAAATCGCAGAGTTATCCCAAAACCCCAAAATCCCTGAATTTCCCCCCAAAATTCCTGCACTTCCCCCCAGATCCCACAATTCACCCCAAAACTGGATTTGGGGTTCCTCAAATCCCAGGTTTATCCAGAACCCCAAAATCCCTGAATTTCCCCCCAAAATCCCCAAATTTCCCCCAAATTCCCTGAATTTCCCCCTAAAATGGATTTTGAGGTTCCACAGATCCCAGGTTTATCCCAAAACCCCAAATCCCCCAATTTTCCTCAAAATGGATTTTGGGGTTCTCTCGAATCCCAGGGTTATCCCAGAACCCAAAATCCCCGAATTTCCCCCCAAAATCCCTGAATTTCCCCTAAAATTCCCCAAATTTTCCCCCAAATGGATTTGGGGTTCCCTCAAATCCCAGATTTATCCCAGAACCCCAAAATCCCTGAATTTCCCCCCAAATCCCTGAATTTTCCCCCAAAATGGATTTTGGGGTTCCCTTAAATCCCAGGTTTATCCCACAACCCCAAAATCCTGAATTTTCCCCCAAACCCCCACAATTCACCCCAAAACCCCCAAATTCACCCCAAAACCCCCACAATTCACCCCAAACGCCTCACAATTCACCCCAAAACCTCCAAATTCACCCCAAACCCCCAAATTCACCCCAAAACCCCCAAATTCACCCCAAACCCCACAATTCACCCCAAAAACGGATTTGGGGTTCCTCAAAGCCCATGGCTAGCCCAGAACCCCAAAATCCCTGAATTTCCCTCCAAAATCCCTGAATTTCTCCCCCAAATCCCTGAACTTCCCCCAGAATCCCCACAATTCACCCCAAAAACGGATTTGGGGTTCCCTCAGATCCCAGGTTTATCCCAGAACCCCAAAATCCCTGAATTTTCCCCCAGATCCCTGAATTTGCCCCAAAATGGATTTTGGGGTTCCCTTAAATCCCAAGGTTATCCCAGAACCCCAAAACCCCTGAATTTCCCCCCAAAATCCCCACAGTTTACCCCAGAATGGATTTTGGGTTTCTCTCAAATCCCTTTTGAGGTTCCTAAATCCCCTTTTCCAGGATGGCTTCGTTCAGAACATTCACATGGAGCTCTAGGATGGATTTTGGGGTTCCCAAATCCCCATTTGGGGTTCCTAAATCCCCATTTGGGGTTCCTAAATCCCCTTTTGAGGTTCCTAAATCCCCTTTCCCAGGACGGCTTCGTTCAGAACGTGCACAGGGAGCTATGGGATGCATTTTGGGGTTCCTAAATCCCCATTTGAGGTTCCTAAATCCCCTTTTATGTTCCTAAATCCCCTTTTGTGTTCCCAAATCCCCTTTCCCAGGATGGCTTCGTTCAGAACATGCACACAGAGCTCTAGGATGGATTTTGGGGTTCCTAAATCCCCATTTGAGGTTCCTAAACCCCCATTTAGGTTCCTAAACCCCCTTTTCAGTTCCCAAACCCCCTTATTTCCAGGATGGCTTTGTCCAGAACGTGCACACAGAGCTCTGGGATGGATTTTATGTTCCTAAACCCCCATTTTGAGGTTCCTAAACCCCCTGTTTCCCAGGATGGCTTTGTTCAGAACGTGCACACAGAGCTCTGGGATGGATTTTGAGGTTCCTAAACCCCCATTTGAGGTTCCCAAACCCCCTTTCACGTTCCTAAACCCCCTTATTTCCAGGATGGCTTCATGCAGAACGTGCACACAGAGCTCTGGGGTGCATTTTGAGTTCCTAAATCCCCATTTGAGGTTCCCAAATCCCCATTTATGTTCCCAAACCCCCTTATTTCCAGGATGCCTTTGTGCAGAACGTGCACACAGAGCTCTGGGATGGATTTTGAGTTCCTAAATCCCCATTTTGAGTTCCTAAATCCCCATTTATGTTCCTAAACCCCCTGTTTCCCCAGGATGGCTTTGTGCAGAACGTGCACACAGAGCTCTGGGGTGCATTTTGAGGTTCCCAAACCCCCATTTTATGTTCCCAAACCCCCTGTTTCCCCAGGATGGCTTTGTCCAGAACGTGCACACAGAGCTCTAGGATAGATTTTGAGGTTCCCAAACCCCCATTTTGAGGTTCCTAAACCCCCTGTTTCCCCAGGATGGCTTTGTTCAGAACGTGCACACAGAGCTCTGGGATGCATTTTGAGGTTCCTAAACCCCCTTTCACGTTCCCAAACCCCCTGTTTCCCCAGGATGGCTTTGTGCAGAACGTGCACACAGAGCTCTAGGATGTATTTTATGTTCCTAAACCCCCTTTCACGTTCCCAAACCCCCATTATTTCCAGGATGGCTTCGTTCAGAACGTGCACACAGAGCTCTGGGCTGCATTGTGAGGTTCCCAAACCCCCATTTATGTTCCTAAATCCCCTTTCCCAGGACGGCTTCGTTCAGAACGTGCACAGGGAGCTATGGGATGGATTTTGGGGTTCCTAAATCCCCATTTGAGGTTCCTAAATCCCCTTTTATGTTCCTAAATCCCCTTTTGTGTTCCCAAATCCCCTTTTCCAGGACGGCTTCGTTCAGAACATGCACACAGAGCTCTAGGATGGATTTTGGGGTTCCTAAATCCCCATTTGAGGTTCCTAAACCCCCATTTAGGTTCCTAAACCCCCTTTTCAGTTCCTAAACCCCCATTATTTCCAGGATGGCTTTGTGCAGAATGTGCACACAGAGCTCTGGGATGGATTTTGAGGTTCCTAAACCCCCATTTTGAGGTTCCCAAACCCCCTTTCACGTTCCTAAACCCCCTTATTTCCAGGATGGCTTCATGCAGAACGTGCACACAGAGCTCTGGGGTGCATTTTGAGTTCCTAAATCCCCATTTGAGGTTCCCAAATCCCCATTTATGTTCCCAAACCCCCTTATTTCCAGGATGGCTTTGTGCAGAACGTGCACACAGAGCTCTGGGGTGCATTTTGAGTTCCTAAATCCCCATTTTGAGTTCCTAAACCCCCTGTTTCCCCAGGATGGCTTTGTCCAGAACGTGCACAGGGAGCTCTGGGATGGATTTTAGGGGTCCCAAACCCCCTTTCACGTTCCCAAACCCCCTGTTTCCCCAGGATGGTTTCGTTCAGAACGTGCACACAGAGCTCTGGGATGTATTTTGAGGTTCCCAAACCCCCTTTCACGTTCCTAAACCCCCTTATTTCCAGGATGGTTTCGTTCAGAACGTGCACACAGAGCTCTGGGGTGCATTTTGAGGTTCCTAAATCCCCTTTTCCAGGATGGCTTTGTTCAGAACGTGCACACCCCTCGGGTGCGGGTGGACCCCGACGGCCGCTGTGCGGTGATGCTGATCTATGGCACGCGCCTGGTGGTGCTGCCCTTCCGCAGGGACTCGCTGGCTGATGAGCACGAGGGGCTGGTGGGAGAGGGGTGAGGGACCCCCCAGAGGGACCCAGGGGGGACCCCGAAACTGGGGAGGGACCCATGGACCCCAGGGGGGACCCCGAAACTGGGGAGGGACCCCTGAGAGCCCCGGGGGGACCCCGAAACTGGGGAGTGACCCATGGACCCCCCCAGGGAACCCCAAAACCGGGGAGTGCCCCCAGAGAGACCCAGAGACACCCGGGGGGACCCCGAAACTGGGGAGTGACCCCTGAGACACCCCCAGGGAACCCCGAAACTGGGGAGTGACCCATAGACCCCCGGGGGGACCCCGAAACTGGGGAGTGACCCATAGACCCCCGGGGGGACCCCGAAACTGGGGAGTGACCCCTGAGACCCCCCCAGAGACACCCGGGGGTACCCCGAAACTGGGGAGTGCCCCCAAATCCCCCCGAGGCACCCCAAAACCGGGAAGTGCCCCCTGAGACCCCCTGGGGCACCCCAAAACCGGGCAGTGCCCCCTGAGACCCCCAAAACCCGGGCAGCCCCCCCAGAACCCCCCCAGACTCCCCAAAACCCGGGCAGTGACCCCTGAGACCCCACAGGGCACCCCCAAACCCGGGCAGCACCCCCTGAACCCCCCCAAATTCCCCCCCAGGACCCCCCAATACCCGGGCAGCCCCCCCAGAACCCCCGCAAAACCCCCCCCAAAACCCGGGCAGTGCCCCCTGAAGCCCCCAGACACCCCCGGGACACCCCAAAACCCAGGCAGTGCCCCCTGAGATCCCCAAACCCAGGCAGTGTCCCCTGAACTCCCCAGAGACCCCAAAACCCGGGCAGCACCCCCTGAACCCCACAAATCCCCCCCTAAACCCGGGCAGCCCCCCCTGAACCCCCCCAAACCCGGGCAGTGCCACCTGAACCCCCGGGGACCCCAAAACCCGGGCAGTGCCCCCTGAACCCCCCAAATCCCCCCCCAGACCCCCAAACCCGGGCAGCCCCCCCAGACCCCCCTGGGCACCCCAAAACCCGGGCAGTGCCACCTGAATCCCCGGGGCACCCCAAAACCCGGGCAGCCCTCCCTGAACCCCCCAAATCCGCCCCAAAACCTGGGCAGTGCCCCCTGAAACCCCACAGGGCCCCCAAAACCGGGCAGTGCCCCATGGATCCCCCAGAGACCCCCGGGGCCCCCCAAAACCCGGGCAGTGCCCCCTGAACCCCCCAAATCCCACCCCAGACCCCCCAAACCCGGGCAGCCCCCCCGGGGCACCCCAAAACCCGGCAGCCCCCCCTGACCCCCCCAATCCCTCAGGCAGAAGTCGAGTTTCCTGCCCAGCTACATCATCGACGTGCGGGAGCTGGACGAGAAACTGCTCAACATCATCGACATGCAGTTCTTGCATGGCTACTATGAACCCACCCTGCTCATCCTCTTCGAGCCCAACCAGACCTGGCCCGGGTCAGTTTTGGGGATTTTGGGGGGTTTGGGGGGATTTTGGGGGGATTTGGGGTGATTTTGGGGGGTTTCAGGGGGTTTTGGGGGGGTTTCAGGGGGTCCCAGCCCATGCAGTTCTTACATGGCTACTATGAACCCACCCTGCTGATCCTCTTCGAGCCCAACCAGACCTGGCCTGGGTCAGTCTGGGGGTCCCACGGGGATTTTGGGGGGATTTTGGGGGGATTTGGGGTGGTTTGGAGGGAATTGGAGGCAGTTTTGGGGGAGTTTGTGGGGGTTTTAGAGTCTCAGGGGTTCCCAGCCCATGCAGTTCCTGCATGGCTGCTCTGAGCCCACCCTGCTCATCCTATTGGAGCCCAACCAGACCTGGCCCGGGTCAGTCTGGGGGTCCCACGGGGATTTTGGGGCAGTTTTGGGGCGATTTCTGGGGGTTTGGGGGGATTTCAGGGGATTTCAGGGGTTCCCAGCCCATGCAGTTCCTGCATGGTTACTGTGAGCCCACCCTGCTGATCCTATTGGAGCTCAACCAGACCTGGCCCGGGTCAGTTTTGGGGTTTGGGGAGAATTTTGGGGGGATTTGGGGCAGTTTGGGGGAGATTTGGGGTGGTTTAGAGGGAATTTGAGGCAGTTTTGGGGGCATTTCAGGGGGTTTGGGGGATTTTGGGAGGTTTTGGGGTTCCCAGCCCATGCAGTTCCTGCATGGCTGCTATGAACCCACCCTGCTCATCCTCTTCGAGCCCAACCAGACCTGGCCCGGGTCAGTCTGGGGGCCCCACGGGGGATTTGGGGCAATTTGGGGCAGATTTGGGGTGGTTTGGAGGGAATTTGAGGCACTTTTCAGGGGGTTTTGGGGTTCCCAGCCCATGCAGTTCCTGCATGGCTGCTATGAGCCCACCCTGCTGATCCTGTTTGAGCCCAACCAGACCTGGCCCGGGCCAGTTTGGGGGTCCCAGTGGGATTTTGGGGGGATTTGGGGCGGTTTGGGGGGATTTGGGGTGGTTTGGAGGGAATTTGAGGGATTTTGGGAAGGTTTCAGGAGGTTTCAGGGGTCCCAGCCCATGCAGTTCCTGCATGGCTGCTCTGAGCCCACCCTGCTGATCCTATTGGAGCCCAACCAGACCTGGCCCGGGTCAGTCTGGGGATCCCAGGGGGGATTTTGGGGGGTTTTGGGGCTGTTTTTGGGGGGATTTTGGGAGGGTTTCAGGGGGTCCCAGCCCATGCAGTTCCTGCATGGCTGCTCTGAGCCCACCCTCCTCATCCTCTTCGAGCCCAACCAGACCTGGCCTGGGTCAGTCTGGGGCTCCCAGGGGGATTTTGGGGGGATTTTGGACAGGTTTCAGCGGTTTGGGGGCAGTTTTGGGGCTGTTTCAGGGGTGTTTGGGGGTCTTTCAGGGGTGGTTTGAGTGGGTTTCAGTGGTTTTGGGGCTGTTTCAGGGGTTTTGGGGGTGATTCTGGTGTTTTGGGGGGTGTTTCAGGGGTGTTTGGGGTTTTTCAGGGGTGTTTGGGGGGTGTTTCAGGGGTGTTTGGGGCGGTTTCATGGGTGTTTGGGGCTGTTTCAGGTGTTTTGGGGCTATTTCAGGTGTTTTGGGGCTGTTTCAGGGGTGTTTGGGGCTGTTTCAGTGGTTTTCGGGCTGTTTCAGTGGTTTTGGGGCTGTCTCAGGGGTTTTGGGGGTGTTCCAGGGGTTTTAGGGGTGTTTCAGGGCTGTTTTGGGGCTGTCTCAGGTGTTTTGGGGCTGTTTCAGGGCTGTTTTGGGGCTGTCTCAGGTGTTTTGGGGCTGTTTCAGTGGTTTTGGGGGTGGTTTCAGGGCTGTTTTGGGGCTGTTTCAGGGCTGTTTGGGGGTTCCCAGCCCCCTCAGTTCCCCCCTCTGACCCCAGCTCGAGCTGCTCTGGGGCACTTTTGGGGCATTTTGGGGCAGTTTTGGGGCCATTTGGGGGATTTTGAGGTTCAGGGGAGTTTTGGGGTCCCAGTGGGCTCTGGAAGGTCCCAGTGCAGGGGACAGTGCCCAGTTTGGGGTGACAGTGACACAGTGACAGGTGACAGTGCCCAGTTTGGGGTGACAGTGGCACTGGGGACACAGGGACAGGGGACAGTGCCCAGTTTGGGGTGACAGTGGCACTGGGGACACAGGGACAGGGGACAGTTTGGGGTGACAGGGCTGAGGGGTCACAGAGGTCACCCCTGGTGACATTGGGGTGTCCCCAAGAGGTGACAGGGGTCAGGGGTCAGGGGTCAGGCTGTCACTCAGGGGGACATTGGGGTGTCCCCACAGGAGGGTGGCAGTGCCACAGGGCACAGGTGGGGTCAGGGGGTGTCTGTCACCCCCAGGTGACACAGAGGTGACAGAGGTGTCCCCACAGGAGGGTGGCAGTGCGGCAGGACACTGTGACCCCCCCAGGTGACACACAGGTGACACAGAGGTGTCCCCACAGGAGGGTGGCAGTGCGGCAGGACACTGTGACCCCCCCAGGTGACACACAGGTGACACAGAGGTGTCCCCACAGGAGGGTGGCAGTGCGGCAGGACACTGTGACCCCCCCAGGTGACACAGAGGTGTCCCCACAGGAGGGTGGCAGTGCAGCAGGACACTGTGACCCCCCCAGGTGACACAGAGGTGTCCCCACAGGAGGGTGGCAGTGCAGCAGGACACTGTGACCCCCCCAGGTGACACAGAGGTGACAGAGGTGTCCCCACAGGAGGGTGGCAGTGCGGCAGGACACTGTGACCCCCCCAGGTGACAGAGGTGTCCCCACAGGAGGGTGGCAGTGCCCCAGGACACTGTGACCCCCCCAGGTGACAGAGGTGTCCCCACAGGAGGGTGGCAGTGTGGCAGGACACTGTGACCCCCAGGTGACCCCCAGGTGACACACAGGTGACACAGAGGTGTCCCCACAGGAGGGTGGCAGTGCGGCAGGACACTGTGACCCCCCCAGGTGACAGAGGTGTCCCCACAGGAGGGTGGCAGTGCGGCAGGACACGGGTGGGGTCAGGCTGTGTCTGTCACCCCCAGGTGACACAGAGGTGTCCCCACAGGAGGGTGGCAGTGCGGCAGGACACTGTGACCCCCAGGTGACACAGAGGTGTCCCCACAGGAGGGTGGCAGTGCGGCAGGACACTGTGACCCCCAGGTGACACAGAGGTGTCCCCACAGGAGGGTGGCAGTGCGGCAGGACACGTGCAGCATCGTGGCCATCTCGCTGAACATCCTGCAGCGCGTGCACCCCGTGATCTGGTCCCTGAGCTCGCTGCCCTTCGACTGCACCCAGGCACTGCCCGTGCCCAAACCCATCGGTCAGTGACAGGGACACAGTGACACAGTGACACAGTGACACAGTGACAGTGACACAGTGACAGTGACACAGGGACACAGGGACAGTGACACAGGGACAGTGACACAGTGACACAGTGACACAGTGACACAGTGACAGTGACACAGTGACAGTGACAGTGACAGTCACAGTGACACAGTGACACAGGGACAGTGACACAGTGACACAGTGACAGGGACACAGTGACACAGTGACACAGTGACACAGTGACAGTGACAGTGACAGACACAGTGACACAGTGACACAGGGACAGTAACACAGTGACACAGTGACAGGGACACAGTGACACAGTGACAGTGACACAGGGACAGTGACACAGTGACAGGGACACAGTGACACAGTGACAGTGACACAGTGACAGTGACAGTGACACAGGGACACAGTGACAGAGTGACAGTGACAGTGACACAGTGACACAGTGACAGTGACACTCTGACAATGACACTGTCCCCATGTCCCAGGGGGTGACAATGACAATGACAATGACACTGTCCCCACTGTCCCCATGTCCCCGTGTCGCAGGGGGTGTGGTGACAGTGACAATGACAATGACACTGTCCCCGTGTCCTAGGGGTGACGAAACTGACACTGTCCCCGTGTCCCCGTGTCCCAGGGGGTGACAATGACACTGACACTGTCCCCATGTCGCAGGGGGTGTGGTGACAATGACACTGTGACTATGTCCCAGGGGTGACAATGACACTGTCCCACTGTCCCCGTGTCACAGGGGGTGTTGTGACAATGACACTGACACTGTCCCCATGTCCCCATGTCCCAGGGGGTGACAATGACACTGACACTGTCCCCGTGTCCCAGGGGGTGACACTGACACTGTCCCCATGTCCCCATGTCCCAGGGGGTGTTGTGACAATGACACTGACACTGTCCCCATGTCCCCATGTCCCAGGGGGTGACAATGACACTGACACTGTCCCCGTGTCCCAGGGGGTGACAATGACAATGACACTGTCCCCATGTCCCAGGGGGTGACAATGACACTGACAATGACAATGACACTGTCCCCATGTTGCAGGGGGTGACAATGACACTGACACTGTCCCCATGTCCCCATGTCCCAGGGGGTGACAATGACACTGTCCCCGTGTCCCCATGTCGCAGGGGGTGTTGTGATCTTCGCTGTGAACTCTCTGCTGTACCTGAACCAGAGCGTGCCCCCGTACGGGGTGGCCCTCAACAGCCTCACCTGCGGCACCACCGTCTTCCCTCTGCGTGAGTGACACATCTGTCACTGTCCCTGTCCCCTGTCCCCTGTCCCTGTTCCTGTCACTGTCCCTGATCCTGTACAGGGTGGCCCTCAACAGCCTCACCTGCGGCACCACCGTCTTCCCGCTCCGTGAGTGACACATCTGTCACTGTCCCCTGTCCCTGTCCCCGTTCCTGTCACTGTCCCCTGTCCCCTGTCCCTGTCACTGTCCCTGTCCCCTGTCCCTGTTCCTGTCACTGTCCCTGTCCCCTGTCCCTGATCCTGTACAGGGTGGCCCTCAACAGCCTCACCTGTGGCACCACCATCTTCCCACTCCGTGAGTGTCACTGTCACTGTGCCTGTCACTGTCACCATCCCTGTCCCTGTTCCCGTTCCTGTCCCTCTCGCCCGTCACTGTCCCTGTCCCATTCCCATTCCTTGTGTCACCATCCCCTCTCTCCTTGTCCCCATCCCTGTCACTGTCCCTGTGCCTATCCCTCTCCCCATCCCTTTTCCTGCTATGATTGTCTCTGTCTGTCCCCACTGTCCCTGTCCCATCCCTGTCCCCATCCCTATCCTGTCCCTGTCCCCGTTGCTGTCCCCACCCCAGCTGTCCCTGTCCCCACTGTCCCTCTCCCCATCCCTGTCCATGTCCTGTCCCAGTCCCCACCCCAGCTGTGACTGTCCCTGTTGCTGTCCCCTGTCCCCATCCCTGTCCCCTGTCCCTGTCCCCATCCCTGTCCCCAGCTGTGTCTGTCCCTATCCCTGCTGTGACTGTCCCCATCCCTGTCCCCATCCCTGTCCCCATCCCCACTGTCCCCGTCCCTGTCCCATCCCTGTCCCCACCTGTGACTGTCCCCATTCCTGTCCCCATCCCACTGTCCCTGTCCATGTCCCTGTCCATGTCCTGTCCCCATCCCCACTGTCCCTGTCCCTGTCCCATTCCTGTCCCCACCCCAGCTGTCCCTGTCCCCATCCCACTGTCCCCGTCCCTGTCCATGTCCTTTCCCTGTCCCTGTCCCCATCCCCACTGTCCCTGTCGCTGTCCCATCCCTGTCCCCATCCCTGTCCCCATCCCTGTCCCCATCCCTGTCCCCACCTGTCCCTGTCCCATTCCTGTCCCCATCCCTGTCCCCGTCCCTGTCCCTGTCCCATTCCTGTCCCCATCCCCACTGTCCCCGTCCCTGTCCCTGTCCCATCCCTGTCCCCATCCCCACTGTCCCCATCCCTGTCCCCATCCCCACTGTCCCCATCCCTGTCCCCATCCCTGTCCCCATCCCTGTCCCCGTCCCCACTGTCCCCGTCCCTGTCCATGTCCTGTCCTTGTCCCCATCCCCACTGTCCCCATCCCCACTGTCCCTGTCCTCATCCCACTGTCCCTGTCGCTGTCCCCAGGGATCCAGGAGGGCGTGAGGATGACTCTGGACTGTGCCCAGGCCACCTTCATCTCCTATGACAAGATGGTCATCTCGCTCAAGGGGGGGGAGATGTGAGTCTGGGGGTGTCCCCAAGGGTCTGGGGGTGTCCCCAAGGATTTTAGGGGTGTCCCCTGTCCCCCCCTGAAGTGCCACCCCCTGTCCCAGCCGTGTCCTGGCACTGCTCAGCGACAGGACAAGCTCTGTCCCCTCCTTCCCTGGGACAAGAGGGGGGGTCCCCGGGTTTCTGGGGTGACTTTTGGGGGTCTCCAGGGATTTTGGGGGGTCCTGGGGGTGTCCCCAAGGGTTGGGGGTGTCCCCAGGGGTTTGGGGTGTCCCCAGGGGTTTGGGGATGTCCCCAGGGATTTGGGGTGTCCCCCAGGGTTTGTCACCCCCCTGAGCTGTCCCTTTGCTGTCCCAGCTCTGTGCTGTGGGACAGTGAGGGGTCCCTGTTTTTAATGGGGGTGTCCCCAAGGGTTCGGCGGTGTCCCCAGGGGTTCATGGGTGTCCCCAGGGGTTTGGGGGTGTCCCCAAGGGTTTGGGGGTGTCCCCAAGGACCCGGGGGTGTCCCCAGGGGTGGGTTTGTCACCCCCTGAGCTGTCCCTTTGCTGTCCCAGCTCTGTGCTGATGCTGATCACGGACGGGATGCGCTCTGTGCTGTGGGATAGTGAGGGGTCCCTGTTTTTAATGGGGGTGTCCCCATGGGTTTGGGGTGTCCCCAGGGGTTTGGGGGTGTCCCCAAGGACTCAGGGGTGTCCCCAAGGGTGGCTTTGTCACCCCCTGAGCTGTCCCTTGCTGTCCCAGCTATGTGCTGACGCTGATCACGGACGGGATGCGCTCCGTGCGCTCCTTCCACTTCGACAAAGCGGCCGCCTCTGTCCTCACCACCTGTGTAAGCACCTGGGGACACCTGGGGACACCTGGGCACACCCGGGCACACCTGGGCACACCTGGGCACACCTGGGGACACCCTGGGGACACCTCGGGGACACCCTGGGGACGCTCAGGTGACACCTGTGTCCCCAGATGGTCCCTCTGGAGCCCGGGTATCTCTTCCTGGGGTCCCGCCTGGGGAATTCCCTCCTGCTCAGGTACACGGAGAAGCTGCAGGAGCCCCCGGCCGGGGCGGGCAAGGAGGGGCCTGACAGACAGGTGAGAGCCCACCTGGGAACCCCAAAAAACACCTGGGGATCCCCAAAAATTACCTGGGAGTCCCAAAAATCCACCTGGGGATCCCCAAAAATCACCTGGGCACCCCAAAAATCACCTGGGGATCCCAAAAATCCACCCTGGGGATCCCAAAAATCCCCATCCCAGAGCTAGGGGAGTAAGGAGGGGCCTGACAGACAGGTGAGAGCCCAGAAAGCACCTGGGGACCCTAAAAATCACCTGGGGATCCCCAAAAATCACCTGGGGATACCCAAAATCCACCTGGGGATCCCAAAAATCCCCATCCCAGAGCCAGAGGGGCAAGGAGGGGCCTGACAGACAGGTGAGAGCCCAGAAAGCACCTGGGGACCCCAAAAATCACCTGGGAACCCCAAAATCCACATGGGCATCCCAAAAAATCACCCGGGGATCCCCAAAATCCACCCTGGATCCCAAAATCCTCCCTAAGGAACCCAAACCCTCCCCAAGATCCCAAATCCCCATCCCAGAGCCAGGAGGGCAAGGAGGGGCCTGACAGACAGGTGAGAGCCCAGAAAGCACCTGGGAACCCCAGAAACCACCTGGGCACCCTAAAAATCACCTGGGGATCCCCAAAACCCTCCCCAAGATCCCAAATCCCCATCCCAGAGCTAGGGGAGTAAGGAGGGGCCTGACAGACAGGTGAGAGCCCAGAAAGCACCTGGGCACCCCAAAAAACACCTGGGCACCCCAAAATCCACATGGGCATCCCAAAAAAGCACCTGGGGATCCCCAGAATTCACCTGGGCACACCAAAATTCACCTGAGGATCCCCAGAACCCTCCCCAAGATCCCAAATCCCCATCTCAGAGCCAGGGGGGCAAGGAGGGACCTGACAGACAGGTGAGAGCCCAGAAAGCACCTGGGCACCCCAAATCACACCTGGGCACCCCAAAAATCACCTGGGGATCCCCAAAATCCACCTGGGGATCCCAAAAACCACCTGGGCACCCCAAATCACACCTGGGATCCCCAAAATCCTCCCCAAGGAACCCAAACCCTTCCCGAGATCCCAAATCCCCATCCCAGAGCCAGAGGGGCCTGACAGACAGGTGAGAGCCCAAAAAGCACCTGGGCACCCCAAAAATCACCTGGGAATCCCAAAATTGACCTGGGCACCCCAAAAATCACTTGGAGGGGATCCAAAATATCCCTTGGGGACCCAAAATTTCATGTGGGGACCCCAACATCCACCTGGAGATCCCCAAAATTCACCTGGGCACCCCAAATCACACCTGGGCACCCCAAAACTCAGCTGGGGATCCCCAAAATCCACCTGGGGACCCCAAATCACACCCGGGGACCCCAAAATCCACCTGGAGACCCCAAATCACACCTGGGGACCCCAAATCACACCTGGAGACCCCAAAATCCACCTGGGGACCCCAAAATCCACCTGGGGACCCCACCCCTGTCCCTGTCCCCCCAGGAGGAGCCGCCGGTGAAGAAGAAACGCTCGGAGCCATCGGGGCCATGGGCAGGTGGGGACACCTGGGGACACCTGGGGGACACCTGGGGGGCACTGGGGACACCTGGGGGACATCTGGGGACAGTGGGGACACTTGGGGGACAGCTGGGGGACAGTGAGGGCACTTGGTGACATCTGGGGGACACCTGGGAACAGCTGGGACCCACCTGGGGACACCTGGGGGGCACTGGGGGGACTTGGGGACAGTGGGGACAACTGAGGACACTTTGAGGGTACTGGGGGACACCTGGGGACACCTGGGGGCCCGTACAGACACTGGGGGGTGACACTGGGTGACAGGGAGGTGACAGTGGGTGACACAGCCGTGTCCCTGTCCCAGGGGGGTGACACAGGTGTCACACAGGTGTGTCCCTGTCCTAGGGAGGTGTCACAGGTGTCACCCAGGTGTCACCCAGGTGTCACCCAGGTGTCACCCAGGTGTCACACAGGTGTCACACGGGTGTCACACGGGTGTCACACGGGTGTCACACAGGTGTCACACAGGTGTGTCCCTGTCGCAGGGGGTGACACAGGTGTCACACAGGTGTCACACAGGTGTCACACAGGTGTCACAGGTGTCACACAGGTGTCACACGGGTGTCACACAGGTGTCACACAGGTGTGTCCCTGTCGCAGGGGGTGACACAGGTGTCACCCAGGTGTCACACAGGTGTCACAGGTGTCACACAGGTGTCACACAGGTGTCACAGGTGTCACACAGGTGTCACACGGGTGTCACACAGGTGTCACACAGGTGTGTCCCTGTCGCAGGGGGTGACACAGGTGTCACCCAGGTGTCACACAGGTGTCACAGGTGTCACACAGGTGTCACACGGGTGTCACACAGGTGTCACACAGGTGTCACACAGGTGTGTCCCTGTCGCAGGGGGGTGACACAGGTGTCACACAGGTGTCACACAGGTGTCACCCAGGTGTGTCCCTGTGGCAGGGGGGTGACACAGGTGTCACACAGGTGTCACACAGGTGTCACACAGGTGTCACAGGTGTCACAGGTGTCACACAGGTGTCACAGGTGTGTCCCTGTCGCAGGGGGGTGACACAGGTGTCACACGGGTGTCACACAGGTGTCACCCAGGTGTCACCCAGGTGTCACACAGGTGTCACACAGGTGTCACAGGTGTCACACAGGTGTCACAGGTGTCACAGGTGTGTCCCTGTGGCAGGGGGGAAGCCGCAGGCTCAGGACGAGGTGGATGAGATCGAGGTGTACGGCAGCGAGGCGGCCTCGGGGACACAGCTGGCCACCTACTCCTTTGAGGTAATGTCATTGTCACCTGTGTGTCACCTGTGTGTCACCTGTGTGTCACCTGTGTGTCACCTGTGTGTCACACACAGCTGGCCACCTACTCCTTTGAGGTAATGTCACCTGTGTGTCACCTGTGTGTCACCCCAACCTGGCCACCTACTCCTTCGAGGTAATGTCACTGTCACCTGTGTGTCACCTGTGTGTCACCTGTGTGTCACCTCCCTGTCACCCCAACCTGGCCACCTACTCCTTCGAGGTACTGTCACCTGTGTGTCACCTCCCTGTCACCCCAACCTGGCCACCTACTCCTTCGAGGTAATGTCACCTGTCTGTCACCTGTGTGTCACCTGTGTGTCACCCCAAGCTGGCCACCTACTCCTTCGAGGTAATGTCACCTGTGTGTCACCTGTGTGTCACCTGTCACCCCAACCTGGCCACCTACTCCTTCGAGGTAATGTCACTGTCACCTGTGTGTCACCTGTGTGTCACCTGTCTGTCACCTGTGTGTCACCCCAACCTGGCCACCTACTCCTTCGAGGTAATGTCACCTGTCTGTCACCTGTGTGCCACCTCCCTGTCACCTCCCTGTCACCTGGCTGTCCCTACTCCTTTGAGGTACTGTCACTGTCACCTGTCTGTCACCTCCCTGTCACACACGGCTGGCCACCTTCTCCTTTGAGGTACTGTCATTGTCACTTGTCTGTCACCTGTCTGTTGCATCCCTGTCACCTCCCTGTCACCTCAACCTGGCTACCTGCTCCTGTCATTGTCACCTCCCTCTCACCTGTGTGTCACCTCCCTGTCACCTGAATCACCTGTGTGTCACCTCCCTGTCACCTGTCTGTCACCTCCCTGTGACCCTCAGCTGGCCACCTGCTCCTCTGAGGTACTGTCACTGTCACCTGTGTCACCTGTGTCACATCCCTGTCACCTGTCTGTCTCCTCCCTGTCACCCCAACTTGGCCACCTGCCCCTTCGAGGTACTGTCACTGTCACCTCCCTGTCACATCCCTGTCACACACAGCTGGCCATCTGCTCCTTTGAGGTATTGTCATTGTCACCTGTCACCTGTGTCACCTGTCTGTCACCTCCCTGGGACCCCAACTTGGCCACCTGCCCCTTCACAGTACTGTCATTGTCACCTCCCTGTCACCTTCCTCTCACCTCTCACCTGTGTGTCACCTGTGTCACCTGTGTGTCACCTCCCTGTGACCCCCACCTGGCCACCTTCAAGGTGCTTTCTCGTGGGTGTCACCTGCCCGTCATCTCTGTCACCCCCGTGTCCCTGTCCCCGTGTGACCGCAGTGTCCCTGTCCCCGCGCCAGGTGTGTGACAGCATCCTCAACATCGGGCCCTGCGCCAACGCCGCCATGGGCGAGCCGGCCTTCCTGTCCGAGGAGGTGAGGGGGGAAAAACCCCAAAAACCACCCCAAAAATACCCCAAAAATACCCCAAAACCCACCCAAAACCGACCCCAAACCCGGCCTTCCTGTCCGAGGAGGTGAGGGACCCAAAAACCCAAAAATGTACCCCAAAAATACCCCAAAATCCACCCCAAAACCCACCCCAACTGAGGGACCCAAAAACCCCCAAATCCACCCCAAAATGTACCCCAAAATGTACCCCAGAAACCCCAAAATCCACCCCAAAACCCAGCCCAAGTGAGGGACCCAAAAACCCCCAAATCCACCCCAAAATGTACCCCAAAAATACCCCAAAACCCAGACCAACTGAGGGACGCAAATCCACCCCAAAATGTACCCCAGAAACCCCAAAATCCACCCCAAAATGTACCCCAGAAACCCCAAAATCCACCTCAAAACCCGGCCCAACTGAGGGACCCAAAAACCCCAAAATGTCCCCCAGAAACCCCAAAATGTACCCCAAAAATACCCCAAAAATACCCCAAAATGTGCCCCAAACCCACCCCAAACCTGACCCCGCTGTTTCTCTGCAGTTCCAGAACAGCCCCGAGCCCGACCTGGAGATCGTCCTGTGCTCGGGGTACGGCAAGAACGGGGCCCTGACCGTGCTGCAGGTACCCAAAAACCCCAAAACTGACCCCAAAACCACCCCAAAAACCCCAACCCCTGCCTGTGCTCGGGGTACGGCAAGAACGGGGCCCTGACCGTGCTGCAGGTACCCAAAAACCCCAAAACCACCCCAAAAACCACCCCAAAAACCCCAACCCCTGCCTGTGCTCGGGGTACGGCAAGAACGGGGCCCTGACCGTGCTGCAGGTACCCAAAAACCCCAAAAACCACCCCAAAACCACCCCAAAAACCCCAACCCCTGCCTGTGCTCGGGGTACAGCAAGAACGGGGCCCTGACCGTGCTGCAGGTACCCAAAAACCCCAAAACTGACCCCAAAACCACCCCAAAAACCACCCCAAAAACCACCCCAAAAACCACCCCAAAAACCACCCCAAAAACCCCAAAAACCACCCCAAAAACCACCCCAAAAACCACCCCAAAACCACCCCAAAAACCCCAACCCCTGCCTGTGCTCGGGGTACGGCAAGAACGGGGCCCTGACCGTGCTGCAGGTACCCAAAAACCCCAAAACTGACCCCAAAAACCCCCCCAAAAACCCCAAAAACCACCCCAAAACCCAACCCCAAAAACCCCAAAAACCACCCCAAAAACCACCCCAAAAACCCCAAACCCTGCCTGTGCTCGGGGTAGGGCAAGAACAGGGCCCTGACCGTGCTGCAGGTACCCAAAACCCCAAAAACCCCAAAAACCACCCCAAAACCAGTCCTGAACCCCAACCCCTGCCTGTGCTTGGGTACGGCAAGAACGGGGCCCTGACCGTGCTGCAGGTACCCAAAAACCCCAAAAACCACCCCAAAAACCACCCCAAAAACCACCCCAAAAACCACCCCAAAACCAGCCCTGAACCCCAAACCCTGCCTAGGTTATGGCAAGAACGGGGCCCTGACCGTGCTGCAGGTACCCCAAAAACCACCCCAAAGACCAGCCCAAAAACCCCAAAAACCACCCCAAAACCAGCCCTGGGACCCCAAAAAACCCAAACACACCCCAGAAATGAACCTGGGATCCCAAAATCCCCAAACACATCCCAAAACCAGCCCTGAACCCCAAAACCATCCCTTAGACCCCAACCTCCCCTACAAACCCCCCCTGAACCTCAAAACCCCAAACCCCCCCTGAAACCCCAAATCCCCCTGAAACCCCAGAAACCCCAAACCCCCCCTGAAACCCCAAAACCCCAAATCCACCCTGATCCCCAAATCCCCCTGAAACCCCAAATCCCCCCTGAAACCCCACAAACCCCAAATCCCCCTGAAACCCCAAACCCCCCCTGAAACCCCAAAACCCCAAATCCACCCTGAACCCCAAATCCCCCTGAGCCCCAAAAACCCCAAAACCCCAAATCCACCCTGAACCCCAAAATCTCCCTTGGACTCCAAAACCCCCCAAATCCCCCCTGAACCCCACAAACCCCAAACTCTGAAACCCCCCCAAACCTCCCCTAAACCCCCAAATCCCCCTTGACTCCAAAACCCCCCTGAACCCCAAAACCCGAAACCCAGAGCAAAAAGTTCAGATCCCGAAAACTCCAAAACCCCTGAACCACCCTGAACCCCAATCCCGCCAAACCCCAAAAACCCTGAAAACCCTAAAAACCCCAAATCCCCCCTGAACCCCAAAACCCACAAAACCTCAAACCCCAAATCCCCCCTGGCCTCCAAACCCCCCCTGAAACCCCAAAACCATCTGAACCCCACAAACCTCCCATGGACCCCAAATCCCACAAACCCCAAATCCCCTCAGAACCCCCCAAATCCCCCCCCTGAACCTCAAAAACCCTAAAACGCCCTGAACCCCAAAACCCCAAACCCCACAAACCCTCCCTGAACCCCAGAAACCCCAAACCCCAAATCTCCCCTGAACCCGAAATCCCCTCTGAACCCCAAAACACCCCCTGAACCCCCAAATCCCCCTGAACCCCAAAAGCCCCTGAAACCCCAAAACATTCCCCAAACCCCAGAAACCCCAAATCCCCCCTGAACCCCACAAACCCCCCCTGAACCCCAAAATCTCCAAATCCCCCCTGAACCCCACAAATCCCCCCTGAACCCCAGAAACCCCAAATCCCCCCTGAACCCCACAAACCTCCCCTGAACCCCAAAATCTCCAAATCCCCCCTGAACCCCACAAATCCCCCCTGAACCCCACAAATCCCCCCTGAACCCCAGAAACCCCAAATCCCCCCTGAACCCCACAAATCCCCCCTGAACCCCAAAAACCCCAAATCCCCCCCGCACCCCTGAGTGCCCCCGTGGGAGGTTCCCGAGGGGCCGATCCCGGTGCCAGAGCAGGGCTGGGGTGAACCAGGGTGACCCCAAAGGTTGGGGAGCGCCTGTACCCCCCCAGGGACACCCCAAAAACCCCAAAAACTGCCTGTACCCCCCAGGGACACCCCAAAAACCCCAAAACTCTCCTGTACCCCCCCAGGGACACCCCAAAACCCCAAAACCTGTCTGTACCCACCCAGGGACACCCCAAAAACCCAAAAACTGCCTGTACCCACCCAGGGACACCCCAAAAACCCAAATCCCACCTGTACCCCCTCAGGGACACCCCAAAAACCCCAAAACTGCCTGTACCCCCCCAGGGACACCCCAAAAACCCCAAAAACTGCCTGTACCCCCCCAGGGACACCCCAAAAACCCCAAATCCCACCTGTACTGCCCAGGGACACCCCAAAACCCCAAAAACTGCCTGTACCCCCCAGGGACACCCCAAAAACCCCAAAACCCGCCTGTACCCCCAGGGACGCCCCAAAAACCCCAAAAACTGTCTGTACCCACCCAGGGACACCCCAAAAACCCCAAAACTCTCCTGTACCCACACAGGGACACCCCAAAACCCCAAAACCCGCCTGTACCCCCCCAGGGACACCCCAAAAACCCCAAAACTGCCTGTACCCACCAAAAACCCCCAAATCCCACCTGTACCCCCTCAGGGACACCCCAAATCCCCAAAACTGCCTGTACCCCTCAGGGACACCCCAAAATCCATGGGGTACATCCCATAAAGATGGCACTGGAACTGTCCCCTGATGGCTTTCCCTGGTCCCTGTCCCCTGTCCCCATCGCTGTCCCTGTCCACTGTCCTGTCCCCATCGCTGTCCCTGTCCCATTTCCCTGCCCCATCCCTGTCCCTGTCCCTGTCCCTGTCCCTGTGACCACTGTCCCCTGTGACCACTGTCCCCTGTCCCCATCCCTGTCCCTGTCCCCTGCTCTCTGTCTCTGTCCCCATCCCTGTCTCCAACCTTGTCCCCATCCCTGCCTCTGTCCCTGTCCCCTGTCCCTCCTGTCCCTGTCCCCTGACTGTTGTCCCCCGTCCCTGTGTCCCATGTCCCTGTCTCCTGACTGCTGTTCTGTCCCCATCCCCTGTGACATCCCTGTCCCCTGTGACAGCTGTCCCCATCCCTGTCTCCACCCTTGTCCCCATCCCTGTCCCTGTCCCCACCCCTGTCCCCCTGTGACGGGTGTCCCCATCGCTGTCCCTGTCCCCATCCCCGTCCCTGTCCCCATCCCTGTCCCCTGTGATGGGTGTCCCCGTCCCCATCCCCATCGCTGTCCCCTGTGGCGGGTGTCCCCATCACTGTCCCTGTCCCTGTCCCCATCACTGTCCCCCTGTGACGGGTGTCCCCATTGCTGTCCCCTGTCCCTATCCCTGTCCCTATCCCTGTCCGCCTGTGACGGGTGTCCCCATCGCTGTCCCTGTCCCCTGTCCCCATCCCTGTCCCCTGTGACGGGTGTCCCCATTGCTGTCCCCTGTGGCGGGTGTCCCCATCGCTGTCCCTGTCCCTGTCCCCTGTCCCCAGCCCTGTCCCCATCCCTGTCCCCTGTGACAGGTGTCCCCATCGCTGTCCCTGTCCCCTGTCCCCAGCCCTGTCCCCATCCCTGTCCCCTGTGGCGGGTGTCCCTGTCCCTGTCCCCTGTGGCGGGTGTCCCCATGGCTGTCCCCCGTTGGTGTCCCCAGCGCAGCATCCGGCCGCAGGTTGTCACCACCTTTGAGCTGCCCGGCTGTTACGACATGTGGACGGTCACCGCACCCCCGCCCCGGGAACAGGTGAGTCCCCGTGTCACCTGTGTCACCCCTTTGTGTCCCTGTGTCACCTGTGTCACCCCCCTGTGTCCCTGTGTCACCGCACCCCCACCCCGGGAACAGTTGGGTCCCTGTGTCACCCCCTTGTGTCACCTGTGTCTCACCCCTGTGTACCTGTGTCACCCTCCCTGTGTCACCCCGTGTCATCTGTGTCCCTGTGTCACCCCCCCGTGTCACCGTGTCCCCATCCATGTCCCTGTGTCCCCTCTTGCCCTCATGTCCCCTTTTCCCCCATCCCCATGTCCCCCTGTCCATGTGTCCCCCTGTCCCTGTCCCTGTGTCCCCGTCCCCATGTCCCTCTGTCCCTCCATGTCCTCTGTGTCCCCTCATCCCATGTCCCTGTCCCCTCTTGTCCCCGTGTTCCCCTGTCCCTTCGTGTCCTCTGTGTCCCCCTGTCCCCTCTTGTCCCAATGTCCCCGTCTCACCGTGTCCTCTGTGTCTCCCTGTCCCCATGTCCCTGTCCCCTGTTGTCCCAATGTCCCCCTGTCCCCCCATTCCTGTGTCCCAATGTCCCCCTGTCCCTCCGTGTCCTCTGTGTCCCCATGTCCCTGTCCCCACAGCCCGAGGTGGCCCCGGGGACCAGCGCAGAGCCCGAGGCGGCGACGGCGGCTCCGGAAACTTCTGAGGAGGACGGGGAACGTCACGGGTTCCTGATCCTGAGCCGCGAGGACTCCACCATGGTGAGGGGACATTGGGGACATCATGGGGACATTGGGGTTCCTGATCCTGAGCCGCGAGGACTCCACCATGGTGAGGGGACATTGGGGACATCATGGGGACACCATGGGGACATCATGGGGACATTGGGGTTCCTGATCCTGAGCCGCGAGGACTCCACCATGGTGAGGGACACTGGGGACACTGGGGACACCATGGGGACACTGGGGTTCCTCATCCTGAGCTCAGAGGGCTCCACCATGGTGAGAGGACACTGGGGACATTGGGGACATCATGGGGACATTGGGGTTCCTCATCCTGAGCTGCGAGGACTCCACCATGGTGAGGGGACATTGACTGGGGACATTGGGGACATCATGGGGACATCGGGGTTCCCCATCCTGAGCGGCGAGGACTCCACCATGGTGAGGGGACATTGACTGGGGACATCATGGGGACACTGGGGTTCCTCATCCTGAGCTCAGAGGGCTCCATCATGGTGAGTGACACTGGGGACACCGGGGACACCTTGGGGACACCTTGGGGACATCATGGGGACATTGGGGTTCCTGATCCTGAGCCGCGAGGACTCCACCATGGTGAGGGACACTGGGGACACCATGGGGACACCATGGGGACACTGGGGTTCCTCATCCTGAGCTGCGAGGACTCCACCATGGTGAGGGGACATTGGGGACATCATGGGGACATCATGAGGACATCATGGGGACATTGGGGTTCCTGATCCTGAGCTGCAAGGACTCCACCATGGTGAGGGACACTGGGGACATGGCAGGGACATGGGGACACTGACACTCCTTGCTGTCACCTGGTGTCTCCATGTCCCCAGTGGGGACAGCACCCATGTCCTGGGGGCCCTGTCCTGATGTCCCCAACATCCCTGATGTCCCCAGTATCCCCAAGGACAATGACCTGGATTTGGGCTCACCTGGGCGCTGGCCCTGCCCAGTGTCCCCTCAGTGTCCCCGTGTCCCTCCTTGGGGACAGCGCCCATGTTCTGGTGGCTCTGTGGGTGCCATGTCCCCAATGTCCCCGATGTCCCTGATGTCCCCAGTGTCCCATGATGTCCCATGATGTCCCCCCAGGGGACAGTAACCTGGATTTGCGCTCACCTGGGGGCTGGCCTTGCCCGGTGTCCCCTCAGTGTCCCCATGTCCCTCCTTGGGGACATCACCCATGTTCTGGGAGCTCCATGTACACCACGTCCCCAGTGTCCCTTGACATCCCCAACATCCCTGATGTCCCCAGTGTCCCCAAGGGACAATGACCTGGACTGGGCTCACCTGGGTGCTGGCCCTGCCCAGTGTCTCCGTGTCCCTCCTTGGGGACAGCACCCATGTTCTGGTGGCTCTGTGGGTGCCATGTCCCCAGTGTCCCCAACATCCCTGATGTCCCCGATGTCCCCAAGGGACGGTGACCTGGATTTGGGCTCACCTGGGCGCTGGCCCTGCCCGGTGTCCCCTCAGTGTCCCCATGTCCCTCCTTGGGGACAGCGCCCATGTTCTGGTGGCTCCATGGCTTCCATGTCCCCAGTGTCCCCAGTGTCCCCGATGTCCCCAAAGTCCCCAAGGGACAATGACCTGGATTTGGGCTCACCTGGGCGCTGGCCCTGCCCAGTGTCCCCTCAGTGTCCCCCTGTCCCTCCTTACAGCGCCCATGTTCTGGTGGCTCTGTGGGTGCCATATCCCTGATGTCCCCTGATGTCCCCGATGTCCCCAGATCCTGCAGACGGGCCAGGAGATCCTGGAGCTGGACACGAGCGGCTTCGCCACGCAGGGCCCGACCGTGTTCGCTGGGAACCTGGGCCAGGGCCAGTTCATCGTGCAGGTGTCACCGCTGGGGCTGCGGCTGCTGCAGGGCGGTGAGTGAGGGACACACCTGGGACACACCTGGGGACACACCTGGGGACACACCTGGGGACACACCTGGGCCAGGGCCAGTTCATCGTGCAGGTGTCACCGCTGGGGCTGCGGCTGCTGCAGGGCGGTGAGTGAGGGACACACCTGGGACACACCTGGGGACAGGGACAGACACACCTGGGACAGGGACACACCTGGGCCAGGGCCAGTTCATCGTGCAGGTGTCACCGCTGGGGCTGCGGCTGCTGCAGGGCGGTGAGTGAGGGACACACCTGGGACACACAGAGACACACCTGGGACACACCTGGGGACAGGGACACACCTGGGACACACCTGGGGCACACCTGGGGACAGGGACACACCTGGGCCAGGGCCAGTTCATCGTGCAGGTGTCACCGCTGGGGCTGCGGCTGCTGCAGGGCGGTGAGTGAGGGACACACCTGGGGACACCTGGGGACACCTGGGGACAGGGACAGACACACCTGGGGCACACCTGGGGACACACCTGGGGACACACCTGGAACAGGGCCAGTTCATCGTGCAGGTGTCACCGCTGGGGCTGCGGCTGCTGCAGGGCGGTGAGTGAGGGACACACCTGGGACACACCTGGGGACACACCTGGGGACACCTGGGGACACCTGGGGACAGGGACACACCTGGGACACACCTGGGGCCAGGGACACACCTGGGGACACACAGGGACACACCTGGGCTGACATGGAGGGGTCCCAGCGGCTCAGTTGTGTGCCCAGGTGTGACATCAAGGGGGTGGCACAGGAAGAGGTGACACCGGGGGGTGGCACCAGGGTGACAGCACTGGGTCATTCTTGGGGGTGCAGTGACAGTGAGGTGACATTGGCAGGTGACACAGGAGGTGACGCAGGGGTGCTGTGACATTGCTGTGACATTGCTGTGACACTGCTGTCCCCGCAGTGACCCAGCTGCACTTTGTCCCAGTGGGTTTGGGGTCACACAGTGAGTGTGACACTGCTGTGACAATGATGTGACAATGTGACAATGTGCCATTGCTGTCCCCTCAGTGACCCAGCTGCACTTTGTCCTGGTGGATTTGGGGTGACACAGGGGTGTGACACTGCTGTCCCCACAGTGACCCAGCTGCACTTTGTCCCCATGGATTTGGGGTGACATTGCTGTGACAATGTGACATTGCTGTGCCACTGCTGTCCCCTCACAGTGACGCCGCTGCACTTTGTCCCGGTGGGTTTGGGGTGACACAGGGGTGTGACAATGATGTGACACTGCTGTGACAATGTGACATCGCTGTCCCCACAGTGACGCAGCTGCACTTTGTCCCGGTGGGTTTGGGGTGACACAGGGGTGTGACACTGCTGTGACACTGACTGTGTGACATTGTGTGACATTGCTGTCCCCTCACAGTGACCCAGCTGCACTTTGTCCCGGTGGGTTTGGGGTGACACTGCTGTGACAATGTGACACTGCTGTCCCCCCAATGACCCAGCTGCACTTTGTCCCGGTGGGTTTGGGGTGACACAGGGGTGTGACACTGCTGTGACATTGCTGTGCCACTGCTGTCCCCCCCCAGTGACGCAGCTGCACTTTGTCCTGGTGGGTTTGGGGTCACACAGTGAGTGTGACACTGCTGTGACAATGTGACAATGTGCCACTGCTGTCCCCTCACAGTGACCCAGCTGCACTTTGTCCCGGTAGGTTTGGGGTGACATTGCTGTGACAATGTGACAATGTGAGATCACTGTCCCCTCACAGTGACCCAGCTGCACTTTGTCCCGGTGGGTTTGGGGTGACACAGGGGTGTGACACTGCTGTGACACTGACTGTGTGACATCACTGTCCCCTCACAGTGACCCAGCTGCACTTTGTCCCGGTGGGTTTGGGGTGACACTGCTGTGACAATGTGACAATGTGACATCACTGTCCCCTCACAGTGACCCAGCTGCACTTTGTCCCCGTGGGTCTGGGGTGACATTGCTGTGACACTGCTGTGACAATGTGACAATGTGACATCACTGTCCCCTCACAGTGACCCAGCTGCACTTTGTCCCCGTGGACCTGGGCTCCCCCATCGTTCACTGCGCCGTGGCCGATCCCTTTGGGGTCCTGCTCAGCGCCGACGGCCACCTGGCCACCTTCACCCTCAAGGGGGACACCTACGGCGGCCGCGCCCCGCGCCTGGCCCTGCTGCGGCCACCTGTGTCACACGTGAGTGTCACCAATGTCCCCAACCATCCCTGCCTGTCCCCAACCATCCCCAACCCTGCCTGGCCCTGCTGCGGCCACCCGTGTCACACGTGAGTGTCACTGTGTCACCAGTGTCCCCAACCCCTCCTAACCCTGCCTGGCCCTGCTGCGGCCACCTGTGTCACACGTGAGTGTCACTGTGTCACCAGTGTCCCCAACCCCTCCTAACCCTGCCTGGCCCTGCTGCGCCTGCCTGTGTCACACGTGAGTGTCACCAATGTCCCCAACCATCCCCAACCCTGCCTGGCCCTGCTCTGGCCACCCCTGTCACACCTGAGTGTCACCAACTGTCCCCAGTGATGTCCCCAGTGATGTCCCCTATGATGTCCCCCCTGTCCCTGCAGCCGTCCCGTGTAACCACGCTGTGCCTGTACTGGGACCTTTCCGGAATGTCCCCAATGGTGTTCCCAGTGATGTCCCAGTGATGTCCCCAGTGATGTCCCCACTGTCCCCAATGATGTCCCCAGTGATGTCCCCCCTGTCCCCGCAGCCATCCCAGGTCACCGCGCTGTGCCTGTACTGGGACCTTTCTGGAATGTCCCCAGTGATGTCCCCAATGATGTCCCCATTGTCCCCAATGATGTCCCCATTGTCCCCAATGATGTCCCCCCTGTCCCCGCAGCCGTCCCGTGTGACCGCGCTGTGCCTGTACTGGGACCTTTCCGGAATGTCCCCAATGTCCCCAATGATGTCCCCAGTGATGTCCCCATTGTCCCCAGTGATGTCCCCAGTGATGTCCCTGCACTGTCCCCGCAGCCGTCCCGTGTGACCGCTCTGTGCCTGTACCGGGACCTTTCCGGAATGTTCACCACCGAGAGCCGCGCCCCCCGCGAGGAGCCCCCACCCCGCCCCCACGCCGAGGCCGAGACCCTCATCCAGGACCTCAGGTGGGTCACACGGGCCCAGGGCTGTCCCCAAGGTGTCCCCAAGGTGTCCCCAGGGTGTCCCCATCTGTGTCCCCAGGTGTGTCCCAAGGTGTCCCCAAGGTGTCCCCAGGTGTGTCCCCAGGTGTGTCCCCAATCTCGAGGTGTTTCTGCTTGTGTATCCAAGATGTTCCCAGGTGTTATCTCCAGGTGTCCCCAAGGTGTCCCCAGGTGTTCCCAGTTGTCTGCAGGGATGTTCTCAGGTGTCCCCAGTTGTGTCTCCAGGAATATTCTCAGGTGTCCCCACAGGTGTCCCCATATGTCCCCAATCTCCAGGTGTTCCTGCTTGTGTGTCCAGGGATGTCCCCTGGTGTCCCCAGTCTCCAGGTGTTCCCAATTGTGTCTTTAGGGATGTTCTCAGGTGTCCCCAGGTGTTCCTGGTTGTGTCCCCAAGTGTCCCCACTCTCCAGGTGTTCCTGGCTGTGTGTCCAGGGATGTCCTCAAGTGGATCCAGGTGTTCCCAGGTGTATCCACAGGTGTCCCCAGGTGTCCCCAGGTGTCCCCAGGTGTATCCCAGGTGTATCTCAGGTGTATCCCAGGTGTCCCCAGGTGTATCTCAGGTGTCCCCTCTCCCATAGTGGCTCTGTTGACGATGAGGAGGAGATGCTCTATGGGGACTGGGGGTGTCTCAGGTGTCCCCAGGTGTCCCCAGGTGTCTCAGGTGTATCCCAGGTGTATCCCAGGTGTCCCCAGGTGTATCTCAGGTGTCCCCATCTCTCCCGCAGTGGCTCCGTTGACGATGAGGAGGAGATGCTCTATGGGGACTGGGGGTGTCTCAGGTGTATCCCAGGTGTATCTCAGGTGTATCCCAGGTGTCCCCAGGTGTATCTCAGGTGTCCCCATGTGTCCCCAGGTGTATCTCAGGTGTCCCCAGGTGTCCCCAGGTGTATCTCAGGTGTCCCCAGGTGTCTCCCAGGTGTCCCCATCTCTCCCGCAGTGGCTCTGTTGATGATGAGGAGGAGATGCTCTATGGGCACTGGGGGTGTCTCAGGTGTATCTCAGGTGTCCCCAGGTGTCCCCAGGTGTATCCCAGGTGTCCCCTCTCCCACAGTGGCTCTGTTGATGATGAGGAGGAGATGCTCTATGGGGACTGGGGGTGTATCCCAGGTGTCTCAGGTGTATCCCAGGTGTATCCCAGGTGTCCCCAGGTGTATCCCATGTGTATCTCTCCCGCAGTGGCTCCGTTGATGATGAGGAGGAGATGCTCTATGGGGACTCGGGGTGTCTCAGGTGTATCCCAGGTGTATCCCAGGTGTCCCCAGGTGTCCCCAGGTGTATCCCAGGTGTCCCCAGGTGTCCCCAGGTGTATCCCAGGTGTCTCAGGTGTATCTCAGGTGTATCCCAGGTGTCCCCAGGTGTATCCCATCCCTGTCTCCCGCAGTGGCTCCGTTGATGATGAGGAGGAGATGCTCTATGGGGACTGGGGGTGTCCCCAGGTGTCCCCAGGTGTATCCCAGGTGTATCCCAGGTGTCCCCAGGTGTCTCAGGTGTATCCCAGGTGTATCCCAGGTGTCCCCAGGTGTATCCCAGGTGTATCTCTCCCGCAGTGGCTCCGTTGATGATGAGGAGGAGATGCTCTATGGGGACTGGGGGTGTCCCCAGGTGTATCCCAGGTGTCCCCAGGTGTCCCCAGGTGTCCCCAGGTGTATCCCAGGTGTCCCCAGGTGTCCCCAGGTGTCCCCATCTCTCCCATAGTGGCTCTGTTGATGATGAGGAGGAGATGCTCTATGGGCACTGGGGGTGTCTCAGGTGTATCCCAGGTGTATCCCAGGTGTCCCCATGTGTCTCAGGTGTATCCCAGGTGTCCCCAGGTGTATCCCATCCCTGTCTCCCGCAGTGGCTCTGTTGATGATGAGGAGGAGATGCTCTATGGGGACTGGGGGTGTCCCAGGTGTCCCCAGGTGTATCCCAGGTGTCCCCAGGTGTATCCCAGGTGTCCCCTCTCCCGCAGTGGCTCCGTTGACGATGAGGAGGAGATGCTCTATGGGGACTGGGGGTGTCTCAGGTGTATCCCAGGTGTCCCCAGGTGTATCCCAGGTGTCCCCAGGTGTATCCCAGGTGTATCTCTCCCGCAGTGGCTCCGTTGACGATGAGGAGGAGATGCTCTATGGGGACTGGGGGTGTCTCAGGTGTATCCCAGGTGTCCCCAGGTGTCTCAGGTGTATCCCATGTGTATCCCAGGTGTATCCCAGGTGTATCTCAGGTGTATCCCAGGTGTCCCCAGGTGTATCCCATCCCTGTCTCCCACAGTGGCTCCGTTGATGATGAGGAGGAGATGCTCTATGGGGACTGGGGGTGTCCCCAGGTGTATCCCAGGTGTCCCCAGGTGTCTCAGGTGTATCTCTCCCATAGTGGCTCCGTTGATGATGAGGAGGAGATGCTCTATGGGGACTCGGGGGGCTCCGGCCGTTCCCCACCCCGGGAAGAGCCGCGGAGGGCGGGGCCACCGGAGAGAGACCCCGCCCCCCTGAGCCCTGACCCCTCCCACTGGTGCGTGCTGGCCCGGGAGAACGGCAACATGGAGGTACTGGGGATACTGGGGATACTGGGAATGGGGACTGGGGATACTGGGAATGGCACTGGGAGCACTGGGAATGTTTTCTGTCTGGAATTCCCATTGTTTTCCTGTCACAATTCCCATTTCCCCGCCAGGATTCCCATTTGTTTTCCCCCCATAATCCCAGTTTTCCCACCACAATTCCCATTGCTTTCCCTCTGGAATTCCCATTGTTTTCCCACCACAATTCCCACTGTTTTCTCTCTGGAATTCCCATTGTTTTCCCACCACAATTCCCATTTCCCCTCCTGAACTCCTCTTGTTCCCCCTCCCCATAATCCCAATTTCCCACCAGAATTTCCATTTCCCATCAGAATTCCCATTATTCCCCCTCTCCCAAATCCCATTGCTTTCCCTCTGTAATTTTTCATTTCCCTCTGCAGTTCCCGTTTTTTTCCCGCCACAATTCCCACGTTCCAGGTGCTGTTTTCCAGCTGAAATTCCCATTATTTTCCTGTTCAAATTCCCATTGTTTCCCACCATAATTCCCATTATTTTCCTGTTCAAATTCCCATTGCTTTCCCCTGTAAATTTTATTTTCCCACCAGAATTTCTGTGTTTTTTTCCCCATCACTCCCGTTGTTTTCCCATCAGAATTCCCATTTTTTCTCCCATAATTCCCATTTTTTCCCCCATAATTCCCATTTTCCCCCCGTTTCTTTTCCCCTCATCTCTCTCAGGTCCCCTAATGTCACCTGCTGTTCCTGGTGAGGAACTTCCTGTTATTTTTCCCCCATAATTCCCATTTTTCCCCCAATAATTCCCATTTTTTCCCATTTTTTTTCTCTTTTTTTCCCATTTCCCCCCAGCTCTCCCAGGTTCCCAAGCATCACCTGCTGTTCCTGGTGAAGAACTTCCCCTTGTTTTCCCCCATAATCCCCATTTTCCTTCCCATAAATCCTCATTTTCCCCCCATAATCCCCATTTTAACCCCGTAATTCCCAAAATTCCAATTTATTTTTCCCATTTTTTCCCCATTTCTGCCCAGATTTTCCAGGTCCCCGAGTGGCGCCTGGTGTTCCTGGTGAAGAACTTCCCATTGTTTTCCCTCATAATTTCCATTTTTCCCCCATAATCCCCATTTTTAACCCCAAAATTCCCATTTTTCTCAATTTTCCCCGTTCCTGCCCAGATTTACCAGGTCCCCCAGTGATGCCTGGTGTTCCCATTGTTTTCCTGTCACAATTCCTGTCACTTCCCCCCATAATTCTCATTTTTAACTCCATAATTCCCATTTTAATCTCATAATTTCCATTTTTAACCCCATAATCCCCATTTTCTCTCCCATAATTCCCAAAATTCCCATTTTTCTCCCATTTTCCCCCATTCCTGCCCAGATTTTCCAGGTCCCCGAGTGGCGCCTGCTGTTCCTGGTGAAGAACTTCCCATTGTTTTCCTGTCATTCTCCCCCCATAATCCCCATTTTAACCCCATAATTTCCATTTTTAACCCCAAAATTCCCATTTTTCTCCCATTTTCCCCATTTGTGCCCAGATTTTCCGGTCCCCGAGTGGCGCCTGGTGTTCCTGGTGAAGAACTTCCCATTGTTTTCCCCCCATAATCTCCATTTTAACCCCCATAATCCTCATTTTCCCCCCCACAATCCCCATTGTTTTCCCCCATAATCCCCATTTCCCCACATAATCCCCATTTTCCCCCCAAAATTCCCATTTTTAACCCCAAAATTCCCATTTTTCTCCCATTTTCCCCATTTCTGCCCAGATTTTCCAGGTCCCTGAGTGGCGCCTGCTGTTCCTGGTGAAGAATTTCCCGTTGTTTTCCCTCAACAATCCCGATTGAAATTCCCATTTTAACCCCATAATCCCCATTTTTAACCCCATAATCCCCATTTTTAACCCCAAAATTCCCATTTTTTTCCCAATTTTCCCCGTTTTTGCCCAGATTTACCAGGTCCCCGAGTGGCGCCTGGTGTTCCTGGTGAAGAACTTCCTCTTGCTTTCCCTCCACAATCCTCATTGAAATTCCCATTTTAACCCCATAATTCCCATTTTTAACCCCAAAATTCCCGTTTTTCTCCCATTTTCCCCCTTCCTGCCCAGATTTTCCAGGTCCCCAAGTGGTGCCTGGTGTTCCTGGTGAAGAACTTCCCATTGTTTTCCCCCCATAATTTCCATTTCCCCCCCATAATTTCCATTTTCTCTCCCATAATCCCCATTTTTAACCCCATAATTCCCATTTTTAACCCCAAAGTTCCATTTTTTTCCCAATTTTCCCCGTTTTTGCCCAGATTTACCAGGTCCCCGAGTGGCGCCTGGTGTTCCTGGTGAAGAGCTTCCCATTGTTTTCCTGTCATTTTCCCCCCATAATCTCCATTTTTAACCCCATAATTTCCATTTTCCCCGTTCCTGCCCAGATTTTCCAGGTCCCTGAGTGGCACCTGCTGTTCCTGGTGAAGAACTTCCCATTGTTTTCCTGTCACAATTCCTGTGGTTTTCCCCCCATAATCCCCATTCCCCCCCCCCCCAATTCACATTTTAACTCCATAATCCCCATTTTTAACCCCAAAATTCCCATTTTTTTCCCAATTTTCCCATTTTTGCCCAGATTTACCAGGTCCCCGAGTGGCGCCTGGTGTTCCTGGTGAAGAGCTTCCCATTGTTTTCCTGTCACAATTCCTGTCGTTTTCCCACCAGAATCCCCATTTTCCCCCCACAATCCCCATTTCCCCCCCCCCATAATCCCCATTTTTAACCCCAAAATTCCCATTTTTTCCCATTTTCCCCGTTCCTGCCCAGATTTACCAGGTCCCCGAGTGGCGCCTGGTGTTCCTGGTGAAGAATTTCCCCGTGGGCCAGCGCGTCCTGGTGGATTCGTCCTTCGGGCAGCCCCCGGCCGAGCCCCGCAAGGACGAGAGGGGCGAGAGGGAACTGCCCCACGTCAGGGAGCTGCTGCTGGTGGGGCTGGGCCGCGCCCAGAGCCGCCCCTTCCTGCTGGTAACAACAAACTGGGGATACTGGGAGTGATGGGATGGGCACTGGGATGGGCACTGGGAACTGCCCCACGTCAGGGAGCTGCTGCTGGTGGGGCTGGGCCAGGCCCAGAGCCGCCCCTTCCTGCTGGTAACAACAAACTGGGGATACTGGGAGCACTGGGAGTGATGGGATGGGCACTGGGATGGGCACTGGGAACTGCCCCACGTCAGGGAGCTGCTGCTGCTGGTGGGGCTGGGCCGGGCCCAGAGCCGCCCCTTCCTGCTGGTAACAACAAACTGGGGATACTGGGAGTGATGGGAGTGATGGGAGTGATGGGAGTGATAGGAGTGATGGGATGGGCACTGGGAGTGATGGGAGCCATGGGAATGGCACTGGGAGTGATGGGAATGGCACTGAGATGGGCACTGGGAACTGCCCCACGTCAGGGAGCTGCTGCTGGTGGGGCTGGGCCGGGCCCAGAGCCGCCCCTTCCTGCTGGTAACAACAAACTGGGGATACTGGGAGTGATGGGAGTGGCACTGGGAGTGATGGGAATGGCACTGGGAGCACTGGGATGGGCACTGGGAACTGCCCCACGTCAGGGAGCTGCTGCTGGTGGGGCTGGGCCGGGCCCAGAGCCGCCCCTTCCTGCTGGTAACGACAAACTGGGGATACTGGGAGCACTGGGAACCATGGGAATGGCACTGGGAGTGATGGGAATGGCACTGGGATGGGCACTGGGAGTGATGGGATGGGCACTGGGAACTGCCCCACGTCAGGGAGCTGCTGCTGGTGGGGCTGGGCCGGGCCCAGAGCCGCCCCTTCCTGCTGGTAACAACAAACTGGGAGCACTGGGAATGGCACTGGGAGTGATGGGAATGGCACTGGGAGTGATGGGAATGGCACTGGGAGCACTGGGATGGGCACTGGGAGCTGCTGCTGGTGGGGCTGGGCCAGGCCCAGAGCCGCCCCTTCCTGCTGGTAACAGCAAACTGGGGATACTGGGAGCACTGGGAGCCATGGGAATGGCACTGGGAACCATGGGAATGGCACTGGGAGCACTGGGATGGGCACTGGGAACTGCCCCACGTCAGGGAGCTGCTGCTGGTGGGGCTGGGCCGGGCCCAGAGCCGCCCCTTCCTGCTGGTAACAACAAACTGGGGATACTGGGAGCACTGGGAGTGATGGGAATGGCACTGGGATGGGCACTGGGATGGGCACTGGGATGGGCACTGGGATGGGCACTGGGAGCACTGGGAGCTGCTGCTGGTGGGGCTGGGACGGGCCCAGAGCCGCCCCTTCCTGCTGGTACTGCCCAAACTGGGGATACTGGGAGTGATGGGAATGGCACTGGGATGGGCACTGGGTGGATTTTTGGGGTGATTTTGGGGTTCCCAGGTGGATTTTGGGGTTCTGGGATGGATTTTTGGGGTTTGAGATGGATTTTTGACATTCCCTCACCATTTCGGGGGTTCTGGGATGGATTTTGGGGGGTTTGAGATGATTTTTGGGGTTCCCTCACCATTTTTGGGGTTCCCAGGTGTATTTTTGAGGTCCCAGGTGTATTTTTGGGGTGCCCTGACCGTTTTTGGGGTTGCAGGTGCATGTGGAGCAGGAGCTGCTCCTGTACGAGGGGTTTGGGGTTCCAGGTGTATTTTTGGGGTCCCCAGGTGCATTTTTGGGGTTCTGGGATGGATTTTTGGGGTTCTGGGGTGGATTTTTGGGGTCCCAGGTCCATTTTTGGGGTTCTGGGATGGATTTTTGGGGTCCCAGGTGTGTTTTTGGGGTGCCCTGATCGTTTTTGGGGTTCCAGGTGCACGTGGAGCAGGAGCTGCTCCTGTACGAGGGGTTTGGGGTTCTGGGGTGGATTTTTGGGGTCCCAGGTGTATTTTTGGGGTCCCAGGTGGATTTTGGGGTTCTGGGATGGATTTTTGGGGTTCTGGGATGGATTTTTGGGGTGCCCTGACCGTTTTTGGGGTTCCAGGTTCACGTGGAGCAGGAGCTGCTCCTGTACGAGGGGGGATGGATTTTTGGGGTCCCAGGTGCATTTTTGGGGTTCCCAGGTGCATTTTTGGGGTCCCAGGTGTATTTTTGGGGTTCTGGGATGGATTTTTGGGATTCCCAGGTGTGTTTTTGGGGTCCCCTGACCGTTTTTGGGGTTGCAGGTGCACGTGGAGCAGGAGCTGCTCCTGTACAAGGGGTTTGGGGTTCTGGGGTGGATTTTTGGGGTTCCTGGGGTGGATTTTGGGATCCTGGGATGGATTTTTGGGGTGCCCTGACCGTTTTTGGGGTTGCAGGTGCACGTGGAGCAGGAGCTGCTCCTGTACGAGGCCTTTGCCCACGACTCCCAGCTGGGCCAGAGCAACCTCAAGGTTCGGTTCCGCAAGGTGAGAGCGGATTTGGGGGATTTGGGGGGAAATTTGGGGGGATTTGGGGGATTTGGGAGGATTTGGGAAGGATTTGGCGGGATTTGGGAGGATTTGGGGGGAATTGGGAATGATTTGGGGGGATTTGGGAAGGATTTTGGGGGGCTCTGGGGCGATTTGGGGGGAAATTTGGGAGGATTTTGGGAATGATTTGGGGGCTCCGGGGGGATATGGGGGGGAATTGGGAATGATTTGGGGGGAAATTTTTGGGGGGGATTTTGGGAGGATTTGGGGGGTGCTGGGGGAATTTGGGGAGGATTTTGGGGGAAATTTGGGGGATTTTGGGGGCTCTGGGGGGATTTTAGGGGGATTTGGGAATGATTTGGGGGGGAATTTGGGGGGATTTTGGGAGAATTTGGGGGCTCGGGGGATTTTGGGAATGATTTGGGGGGATTTGGGAAGGATTTGGGAAGGATTTTGGGGGGCTCTGGGGGGATTTGGGGGGAAATTTGGGAGGATTTTGGAAATGATTTGGGGGCTTCGGGGAGATATGGGGGGAATTGGGAAGGATTTGGGGGGAAATTTGGGGGGATTTTGGGAGGATTTGGGGGCTCTGAGGGGGATTTGGGGAGGATTTTTTAGGGGGCTCCAGGCGGATTTGAGGGGATTTTTTGGGGGGGATTTGAGGGAATTCAGGGAGGATTTGGGAGGAATTTGGGGGCTCCAGGGGGATTTGGGGAGGATTTTTTGGGTGGGATTTTGAGGGGAATTTTTTGGGGTATTTTGGGAGGATTTTTTGGGGGGGGTTTGAGGAGGATTTTTGGGGGGATTTGAGGAGGATTTGGAGTGAATTTGGGGAAGATTTTGGAGGGATTTGAGGAGGATTTTTTGGGGGGCTTCAGGGTGATTTGGAGAGGATTTTGGGGGGAATTTGGGGAAGATTTTGGAGGGATTTAGGGAGGATTTTTTGGGGTGCTCTGAGGGGATTTGAGGAGGATTTTTTTGGGGATTTGAGGAGGATATGGGGGGAATTTGGGGAAGATTTTGGAGGGGTTTGAGGAGGATTTTTGGGGTGCTCTGAGAGGATATGAGGAGGATTTTTGGGGGGCTCCAGGGTGATTTGGAGAGGATTTTGGGGGGAATTTGGGGAAGATTTTGGAGGGATTTAGGGAGGCTTTTTGGGGTGCTCCAGGGGGGGAATTTGGAGAGGATTTTTGAGGGAATTTGGGGAAGCCTTTGGAGGGATTTGAGGAGGATTTTTTGGGGGGCTCTGAGAGGATTTGAGGAGGATTTTTTGGGGGGCTCCAGGAGGAATTTGGGGAGGATCATCTAGGGAGAATTTTTTGGGTGGGATGTGAGGAGAATTTTGGGGTGCTCCAGGGGGATTTGGAGAGGATTTGGGGGGAATTTGGGGAAGATTTTGGAGGGATTTAGGGAGGATTTTGGGGGTGCTCCAGGGGGGGAATTTGGGGAAGACTTTGGAGGGATTTGAGGAGGAATTTTTGGGGGGTTCTGAGGAGATTTGAGGAGGATTTTTGCGGGGATTTGAGGAGGATTTGGGGTGAGTTTGAGGAAGACTTGGATTTGGAGAGATTTAGGGAGGATTTTTTGGGTGGGTTTGAGGAGGATTTTTTGGGGGGCTCCAGGGCGATTTGGAGAGGATTTTTGAGGGAATTTGGGGAAGATTTTAGAGGGATTTAGGGAGGATTTTTGGGGGGCTCTGAGGGGATTTGAGGAGGATTTTTTGGGGGGATTTGAGGAGGATTTGGGGTGAATTTGGGGAAGACTTCGGAGTGATTTAGGGAGGATTTTTTGGGTGGGTTTGAGGAGGATTTTTTGGGGGGCTCCAGGGCGATTTGGAGAGGATTTTTGAGGGAATTTGGGGAAGATTTTAGAGGGATTTAGGGAGGATTTTTTGGGGGGATTTGAGGAGGATTTGGGGTGAATTTGGGGAAGATTTTGGAGTGATTTAGGGAGGATTTTTGGGGTGCTCCATGGCGGAATTTGGGGACGATTTTTTGCGGGGATCTGGGCAGGATTTTGGTGCATCCTCAGGGGCATTTTTGGGGTTCCCACCCCCCAATCCCCCCGTTTGTGCCCCCCAGGTGCCCCACGGGATCAATTTCCGGGAGAAGAAGCCGAAGCCGTCGCGGAAGAAGCCGGAGGGGCCGGGGGCGGCTCCCGGGGGGGCTCCGGGCGGGACCCCCGAGGAACCGGGGGGGCCCCGGGGCCGCGTGGCGCGGTTCAGGCCCTTCCAGGACATCTACGGCTACTCGGGGGTGAGGCACCCCGAAAACGGGATAGGGGGACCCCAAAACACACCTGGGACCCCAAAACACACCTGGGACCCCGAATCTAGGGAATGGGACCCCAAATCCTGCCAGGGACCCCAAACCTGCCCCTTCCAGGACATCTACGGCTACTCGGGGGTGAGGCACCCCGAAAACGGGATAGGGGGGACCCCAAAACACACCCAGGACCCCGAATCTGGGGAATGGAACCCCAAAACCTGCCAGGGACCCCAAACCTGCCCCTTCCAGGACATCTACGGCTACTCGGGGGTGAGGGATCCCGAAAATGGCATGGGGGGCACCCCAAAAATGGCATGGGGGGACCCCAAAACCCACCAGGGACCCTAAAACCCCTCAGGGATCCCAAATCTGGGGAATGGGATCCCAAAATCCGCCAGGGATCCCAAAATCCGCCTGGGACCCCAAACCTGCCCCTTCCACAACATCTACGGCTACTCGGGGGTGAGGGACCCCAAAAATGGGATGGGGGGGACCCCAAAACACACCTGGGACCCCAAAATCCACCAGGGACCCCAAAACTCACCCAGGACCCTACATCCACCAGGGACCCCAAATCTGCCCCTTCCAGGATATCTACAGCTACTCGGGGGTGAGAGACCCCAAAAACCGCATGGGGGGACCCCAAAACCTGCCAGGGACCCCAAAACTCACCCAGGACCCCCAAAATCCATCAGGGATCCCAAATCTGGGGAGTGGGACCCCAGATCCATGGGGTGAGACCCCAAATCCGTGGTGTAGGACCCAAAACCCAGCAGGGACGCCTGGGGAGTGGGACCCCAAAACCGGGGAGGGGCCCCAAACCTGTCCCCAGGTGTCCCTCACCTGTCCCAGGTGTCCCTCCCCTGTCCCTCCCCTGTCCCTCCCCTGTCCCTCACCTGTCCCAGGTGTTCATCTGTGGCCCCTCCCCGCACTGGGTGCTGCTGATGGGCTCTGGGTGCCCATTCCCGGGGGTCCCTGGCCCCATTCCCAGCTGTCCCCAGGTGTCCCTCACCTGTCCCTCACCTGTCCCTCACCTGTCCCTCACCTGTCCCTCACCTGTTCCCAGGTGTTCATCTGTGGCCCCTCCCCGCACTGGGTGCTGCTGATGGGCTCTGGGTGCCCATTCCCGGGGGTCCCTGGCCTCATTCCTGGGGGTTTTTGGGTATCCCTGGTTGTCCCCATCTGTCCCCATCTGTCCCCAGGTGTCCCTCACCTGTCCCTCACCTGTCCCTCCCTGTCCCAGGTGTTCATTTGTGGCCCCTCCCCGCACTGGGTGCTGCTGACCGGGTCAGGGGGCTCTGGGTGTCCCTGTCCCCATTTCCAGGTGTCCCTGTCCCCATTCCCAGCTGTCCCCAGGTGTCCCTCACCTGTCCCTCACCTGTCCCTCCCTGTCCCAGGTGTTCATTTGTGGCCCCTCCCCGCACTGGGTGCTGCTGACAGGCTCTGGGTGCCCATTCCCGGGTGTCCCTGGCCCCATCTGTCCCCAGCTGTCCCTCACCTGTCCCTCACCTGTCCCTCACCTGTCCCAGGTGTTCATCTGCGGCCCCTCCCCGCACTGGGTGCTGCTGACGGGCTCTGGGTGCTGTCCCTGTCCCCATTCCTGGGGGTTTTTGGGTATCCCTGGATGTCCCCAGCTGTCCCCAGGTGTCCCTCCCCTGTCCCTCACCTGTCCCTCCCCTGCCCAGGTGTTCATCTGTGGCCCCTCCCCGCACTGGGTGCTGCTGACGGGCCGGGGCGCTCTGCGCCTGCACCCCATGGGCATCGACGGCCCCGTGGAATCCTTCGCACCTTTCCACAACGTCAACTGCCCCAAGGGCTTCCTGTACTTCAACCGCCAGGTGAGCACACCTGGGCACAGCTGGGCACAGCTGGGGGGGCACCAGGACTGCCCCAAGGGCTTCCTGTACTTCAACCGACAGGTGAGCACACCTGGGCACAGCTGGGCACAGCTGGGGGCACCTGGGTACACCTGGGGGGGCATCAGGACTGCCCCAAGGGCTTCCTGTACTTCAACCGCCAGGTGAGCGCACCTGGGCACAGCTGGGCACAGCTGGGGGCACAGCTGGGGGCACCTGGGCACACCTAGGGGGGCATCAGGACTGCCCCAAGGGCTTCCTGTACTTCAACCGACAGGTGAGCGCACCTGGGGGCACCTGGGATACACCTGGGGGCAGCTGGGCACAGCTGGGGGCACAGCTGGGGGCACCTGGGCACACCTAGGGGGACACCAGGACTGCCCCAAGGGGTTCTTGTACTTCAACCGCCAGGTGAGGCACCTGGGGGCACAGCTGGGCACACACCTGGGCACACACCTGAGCACACCTGGGCACAGCTGGGTACACCTGGGTACACCTAGGGGGGCATCAGGACTGCCCCAAGGGCTTCCTGTACTTCAACCACCAGGTGAGCACACCTGGGGGCACCTGGGCACACCTAAGGGGGCACCAGGACTGCCCCAAGGGCTTCCTGTACTTCAACCGACAGGTGAGGCAGCTGGGCACACACCTGGGCACACAGCTGGGCACACCCCTGAGGGCACCTGGGTACACCTGGGATACAGCTGGGCACATACCTGGGTATGGCTGGGCACACACCTGGGCACAGCTGGGATACACCTGGGCGCACCTGGGCACACCCCTGGGGAGATCTGGACAAAGCCCTGAGCCATTTTGGGGTCACTTTGGGGTGTTTTAGGCTGAGTTAAGGATCAGGGGATTTGGGGGGTGCCAGATCCATTTCTGGGGGGATTTTGGGATAATTCTGGGGTAATTCTGGGGTATTTTGGGGTCAGGGTGAGTTAAGGATCAGTGTCCTCCCCCCGTACCTGTCCTGTGCCACACCTGAGCCCTTTTGGGGTCACTCTGGGATATTTTGGGTTAATTTTGGTTAATTTTGGGGTGTTTCAGGGTGAATTGAGGATCAGTGTCCTCCCTGCGTACCTGTCCTGTGACACACCTGAGCCCTTTTGGGGTCACTTTGGGATATTTTGGGTTAATTTGGGGTCACTCTGGATATTTTGGGTTAATTTTGGTTAATTTTGGGGTGATTTTTGTTAATTTTGGTTGATTTTGGTTAATTTTGGGTGTTTCAGGGTGAGCTGAGGATCAGTGTCCTCCCTGCGTACCTGTCCTGTGTTTGGGGTGATTTTGGTTAATTTTGGTTAATTTTGGGTGTTTCAGGGTGAGCTGAGGATCAGTGTCCTCCCTGCGTACCTGTCCTGTGTTTGGGTTAATTTTGGTTAATTTTGGTTAATTTTGGGTGTTTCAGGGTGAGCTGAGGATCAGTGTCCTCCCTGCGTACCTGTCCTGTGTTTGGGGTGATTTGGGTTAATTTTGGTTAATTTTGGGTGTTTCAGGGTGAATTGAGGATCAGTGTCCTCCCTGCATACCTGTCCTGTGTTTGGGGTGATTTTGGGTTAATTTTGGGTGTTTCAGGGTGAATTGAGGATCAGTGTCCTCCCTGCGTACCTGTCCTGTGTTTGGGGTGATTTTGGTTAATTTTGGTTAATTTTGGGTGTTTCAGGGTGAGCTGAGGATCAGTGTCCTCCCTGCGTACCTGTCCTGTGTTTGGGTTAATTTGGGTTAATTTTGGTTAATTTTGGGTGTTTCAGGGTGAGCTGAGGATCAGTGTCCTCCCTGCGTACCTGTCCTACGACGCTCCCTGGCCCGTGCGGAAGATCCCCCTGCGCTGCACCGCGCACTACGTGGCCTACCACGTGGAGTCCAAGGTGGGCACACCTGGGTACAGCCACAACACACCTGGGCACACCTGGGCACAGCCACAACACACCTGGGCACAGCCACAATACACCTGGGCACACCTGGGCACAGCCTCAATACAGCTGGGCACACCCAGAGCACACCCAGAGCACACCTGGGCACAGCCACAACACACCTGGGCACAGCCACAGTACAGCTGGGCACACCTGGGCACAGCCACAGCACACCTGGGCACACCTGGGCACAGCCACAGTACAGCTGGGCACACCTGGGCACAGCCACAACACACCTGGGTCTGGTCAGGACTCACCTGGACACACCCACAACACACCTGGGTATGGTCAGGGCACACCTGGGCACACCCAGAACACACCTGAACAGCACCAGGGCACACCTGGACACACCTGGACATGCACACAATACACTTGGGCATACCCAGAACACACCTGGGCACATTCACAACACACCTGGGCACACCTGAGCACACCTAGGCACACCCGGGTATGGTCAGGGCACACCTGATCACACCCACAACACACCTGGGTCTGGTCAGGACTCACCTGGGCACACCCAGAACACACCTGAACAGCACCAGGACACAACTGGCCCCAGCCACAACACACCTGGGCACACCTGGACATACACACAATACACTTGGGCATACCCAGAACACACCTGGGCACACTCACAACACACCTGGGCACACCCAGAACACACCTGAACAGCACCAGGACACAACTGGGCACAGCCAGAACACACCTGGGCACACCTGGACATACACACAATACACCTGGGCACACCTGGGCATGGTCAGGACACTGCTAGGGATACCCAGAACACACCTGGGCACAGGAAGGACACACCTGGGTGCACCTGGGCACACCCAGAACACATCTGGGCACATCCAGGCACAGCCACAACACAATTGGGCACACGTGGGTAATGGTCAGGACACACCTGGGACACAGCCAGGCACACCCACAGCACACCTGGGCACACTCAGAACACACCTGAGTATACCCACATCACACCTGGACACATCTGGGCACGCCCAGAATACACCTGGGCACACCTGGGTGTGGTCAGAACACAGCTGGGCACACCTGGGACACAGCCAGGCACACCCACAACACACCTGGGCATACCTGGGCACACCCACAACACACCTGGGCACAACTGGGCATGCCCAGATCACACCTGGGCATACCCACAATACACCTGGGCACACCTGGGTATGGTCAGGACACACCTGGGACACAGCCAGGCACACCCACAACACACCTGAGTATACCCACATCACACCTGGACACATCTGGGCACGCCCAGAATACACCTGGGCACACCTGGGTCCACCTAGGTGTGGTCAGAACACAGCTGGGCACACCTGGGACACGTCCCTGGGGATTTTGGGGTATCCTGGGGAGGGTCCCAGGCGATTTTGGGGGCTCCAGGGGGGTCTCAGAGGATTTTGGGGGTGCCCGGGGGAGTCCCAGGAAGATTCTGGGGGGGTCCTGGGGAGTCTGAGGGGATTTGGGGTCCCCGGGGGGAATTTGAGGGGGTCCTGAGGGGTCCCAGGTGATGTTGTGGAGTCCTGGGGGGTCTCAGAGGATTTTGGGGGTGCCCAGGGGGGTCCCGGGGGATTTTGGGGTTCCTGGGGGTCCCAGGAGAGTTCGGGGGAGTCTCAGGTGATGTTGGGGGGTCCTGGGGGTCCCCAGGGGATTTTGGGGGATCCTGGGAGATTTTTGGGGGTCCCAGGTAATGTTGGGAGGTCCCAGGGGATTTGGGGGTATCCCGGGGGGTCTCAGGGCATTTTGGGGGTCCCAGGGCATTTTTGGGGATTCTGGGGGGGTCCCTGGGAATTTGGGGGGTTTCTGGGGGTCCTTGGGGTGTTGGGGGGTCCTGGGGAGCTGTGGGGAGCATTGGGGGTGTCCTGGGGAGGGGGGGTCTCAGCGCTGCCCCCCCCCCTAGGTGCACACAGGGGATTTCGGGGGGTCCCGGGGGGTGCCAGGGGCTGTTTGGGGGTCCCGGGGGATTTTGGGGTGCCCGGGGGGGGTCTCAGTGCTGCCCCCCCCCCAGGTGCACACAGGGGATTTTGGGGGGTCCCAGGGGCTGTTTGGGGGTCCAGGGGGATTTTGGGGTTCCCCAGGGGGGTCTCAGCGCTGCCCCCCCCCCAGGTGTACGCGGTGGCCACCAGCTCCCCCCACCCCTGCACACGCATCCCGCGCATGACGGGCGAGGAGAAGGAGTTCGAGAGCATCGAGAGAGGTGAGGGCACCTGGGGGCACCTGGGAGCACCTGGGATACACCTGGGATAGACCTGGGATAGACCTGGGGGCACCTGGGGGCACCTGGGATACACCTGGGGACACCTGGGCACACCTGGGATACACCTGGGGGCACCTGGGATAGACCTGGATACACCTGGGATACACCTGGGGGCACCTGGGGGCACGTGGGCACACCTGGGATAGACCTGGGGGCACCTGGGATACACCTGGGATACACTTGGGATACACCAGGGATACACCTGGGATACACCTGGGATACACCTGGGGGCACCTGGGAAACACCTGGGGGCACCTGGGGGCACCTGGGATACACCTGGGATAGACCTGGGCACACCTGGGGGCACCTGGGATAGACCTGGGCACACCTGGGATACACCTGGGATAGACCTGGGCACACCTGGGGACACCTGGGATACACCTGGGGCACACCTGGGATACACCTGGGGCACACCTGGGATACACCTGGGATACACCTGGGATACACCTGGGGGCACCTGGGATACACCTGGGATACACCTGGGATACACCTGGATACACCAGGGATACACCAGGGATACACCTGGGATACACCTGGGGCACACCTGGGAAACACCTGGGACACACCTGGGGGCACCTGGGATACACCAGGGATACACCAGGGATACACCTGGGATACACCAGGGATACACCTGGGGGCACCTGGGATAGACCTGGGATACACCTGGGGGCACCTGGGATAGACCTGGGGGCACCTTGGGGGGTGTAACTGTCACACCTGGGATACACCTGGGGGCACCTCGGGACAGTATGGGCACAGCTGGGGACAACCCCAAACCCCTCTGTGTCCCCCCAGTCCCAGTGTCCCCAATGTCCCCAGCCCCAGTGTCCCCAGTCCCAGTACCCCCAGTGTCCCCACTGTCCCCAGTGTTCCAATCCCAATGTCCCCAGTCCAAATCCCAGTGTCCCCAATCCCAGTCCCTGTGTCCCCTGTGTCTGCAGTGTCCCCAGTCCCAATCTCCCCATGTCCCCGCTGTCCCCACTGTCCCCAGTGTCCCAATCCCAATGTCCCCAATCCAAATCCCCAGTGTCCCCAATGTCCTCGCTGGCCCCAATGTCCCCCCAGTGTCCCCATCCCAGTGTCCCCATCCCAGTGTCCCCATCCCAGTATCCCCACTGTCCCCGCTGTCCCCCAATGTCCCCAGTGTCCCAATCCCAGTGTCCCCAATCCCCCCAGTGTCCCCATCCCAATCCCAGTGTCCCCGCTGTCCCCAGTGTCCCCAGTGTCCCCATCCCAGTGTCCCCACTCCCAATGTCCCCACTGTCCCCCGCTGTCCCCGCTGTCCCCCCTGACCCTGTGTCCCCCTCGGTGTCCCCAGACGAGCGCTACGTCCCCCCCCAGCAGGAGGCGTTCAGCATCCAGCTCATCTCACCTGTCAGCTGGGAGGCCATCCCCAACACCAGGTGGGACCCCAAAAATCCCAAACCCCAACACTGACCCCATCCCCAACACCAGGTGGGACCCCAAAGTGAACTGGGAACCCCAAAATCCCATCGAGAACCCCCAAAATCCCAAACCCCAACACTGACCCCATCCCCAACACCAGGTGGGACCCCAAAAAACACCCTGGGAACCCCAAAATCCCAAACCCCAACACTGACCCCATCCCCAACACCAGGTGGGACCCCAAACCTCTGCAATGACCCCAAAACACCCTGGGAACCCCAAAATCCCATCGGGAACCCCAAAATCCCAAACCCCCCCAGTGACCCCATCCCCAACACCAGGTGGGACCCCAAAGTGAACTGGGAACCCCAAAATGTCCTGGGAACCCCAAAATCCCCAACCCCTGCAGTGACCCCATCCCCAACACCAGGTGGGACCCCAAAAAACACCCTGGGAACCCCAAAATCCTGAACCCCCGCAGTGACCCCATCCCCAGCACCAGGTGGGACCCCAAAACAACACCCTGGGAACCCCAAAATGTCCTGGGAACCCCAAAATCCCATTGGGAACCCCCAAAATCCCCAACCTCTGCAGTGACCGCACCCCCAACACCAGGTAGGACCCCAAAAAAACACCCTGGGAACCCCAAAATCCCATTGGGAACCCCCAAAATTCCAAACCTCTGCAGTGACCCCATCCCCAACACCAGGTGGGACCCCAAAATCCCATTGGGAACCCCCAAATCCCATTGGGAACCCCCAAAATCCCAAACCCCAACACTGACCCCATCCCCAACACCAGGTGGGACCCCAAAATCTCCTAAATACCCCTGGGAACCCCAAAGATTCCGTTGGGAACTCCAAAATGTCCCCGGGAAACCTGAAAATCCCATCAGGAACCCCAAAAATCCCACCAAGAACCACAAAGAAAACCTGCAGGAACACAAAAAATTCCATCAGGATCCCCAAAATTCCTCATGGGGACCTCAAAATCGCACTGGGAACCCCAGAAAGCCCACTGAGAACCTCAGAAATCCCATCAGGAGCCCCAAAATTAATATCAGGAACCCCAAAAATTCCATCAGGAACCCCAAAAATTCCATCAGGAGCCCCAAATCCCAAAGCCCAGGGGTGAACACTGAGGTCCCAGGTGAGCTGGGAGCCCATATCCAACACCAGATGGGACCCCAAAAATCCCATCAGGAACCCCAAAAATCCCCTCAGGAACCCCAAGAACCCCACTGGGAACTCCGGAAATTCCATCAGGAGACCCCAAAACCGCTGCGGGAACCCCAAAAATCCCATCGGGAACCCCAAAAATCCCAGCCCCACCTGAGCTCACCTGTGCCCACCTGGAGCCCCAGGATGGCCCTGGAGGTGTCAGAGCCCATCAGAGCCTGTGTGGGGTTGGTGTCCTTGGGCACCACCTGTGCCCACCTGGGGTGCTCCTGACCCCACCTGTGCCCACCTGGGGTGCCCCTGAGCCCACCTGTGCCACACCTGGGGTGCCCCTGACCCCACCTGTGCCACACCTGGGGTGCCCCTGACCCCACCTGTGCCCACCTGTGCCACACCTGGGGTGCCCCTGAGCCCACCTGAGCCACACCTGGGGTGCCCCTGACCCCACCTGTGCCCCCTGAGCCACACCTGGGGTGCCTCTGACCCCACCTGTGCCCACCTGAGCCACACCTGAGCCACACCTGGGATGCCCCTGACCCCACCTGTGCCCACCTGGGGTGCCCCTGACCCCACCTGTGCCCACCTGGTCTCACCTGTGCAGGATCTCCCTGGATAGGCTGGCACATGTCACCTTCATGGGGTGACCTGAGACACCTGGGGCAACACTGGAGACCCCTGGGGTGCCTCTGACCCCACCCTGACCTCACCTGTGCCCACCTGTGCAGGATCTCCCTGGATAGGCTGGCACACGTCACCTGCATGGGGTGACCTGAGACCCCTGGGGCATCACCTGAGACATCTTGGGTGCCCCTCTGATCCCCCCATGTCTCACCTGTGCCCACCTGTGCCCACCTGTGCAGGATCTCCCTGGTGGAGCGGGCACACGGCACCTGCATGATGTGATGTGTCCCTGGGGCATCACCTGAGCCACACCTGGGGTGCCCCCAGACCCCACCCTGTGCCCACCTGGTGTCACCTGTCCCCACCTGTGCAGGATTGCCCTGGATAGGCGGGCACACGTCACCTGCATGGGATGATCTGAGACCCCTGGGGCATCACCTGAGCCACACCTGGGGTGCCCCTGACCCCACCCTGACCCCTACCTGTGCCCACCTGGTCTCACCTGGTCTCACCTGTCCCCACCTGTGCAGGATCAGCCTGGATAGGCTGGCACACGTCACCTGCATGGGGTGACCTGAGACCCCTGGGGTGCCCCCTGACCCCACCTTGATCCCACCCATGTCTCACCTGGTCTCACCTGTGCAGGATCGCAGTGGATGGGCGGGCACACGTCACCTGCGTGGGGTGACCTGAGACCCCTGGGGCACCACCTGAGACCCCTGGGATGCTCCTCTAAACCCACCCTTGTCTCACCTGTGCCCCCCTGGTCTCACCTGTGCTCACCTGTCCCCACCTGTGCAGGATCGCGCTGGAGGAGTGGGAGCACGTCACCTGCATGAAGACGGTGTCGCTGCGCTCCGAGGAGACGGTGTCGGGCCTCAAGGGCTACGTGGCCGTGGGCACCTGCCTGATGCAGGGCGAGGAGGTCACCTGCCGGGGCAGGGTACGTACCTGGGCACACCTGGGCACACCTGGGCACACCTGGGATCACACCTGCCTGATGCAGGGCGAGGAGGTCACCTGCCAGGGCAGGGTACGTACCTGGGCATACCTGGGCACACCTGAGGGACAGCTGGATACACCTGGGGGACACCTGGGCACACCTGCCTGATGCAGGGCGAGGAGGTCACCTGCCGGGGCAGGGTACGTACCTGGGCACACCTGGGCACACCTGAGGGACAGCTGGATACACCTGGGCACACCTGGGGGCACACCTGCCTGATGCAGGGCAAGGAGGTCACCTGCCGGGGCAGGGTACGTACCTGGGCACGCCTGGGAACACCTGAGGGACAGCTGGATACACCTGGGCACACCTGGGGTCAGCTGGATATACCTGGGCACACCTAAATACACCTCAGGGACACCTGGGCACACCTGGGGTCACACCTGGGCACACCTGGGGTCACACCTGCCTGCTGCAGGGTGAGGACGTCACCTGCTGGGGCCAGGTTCATACCTGGGGGCGCTTGGGGGGCAGCTGAGGGCACCTGGGCACACCTGGGGAATGTTCTGAGAACCCTGGGGACACCTTGGGGACACCTGTGTGGCTCTGAAGGTTTCTGGGGGAACACCTGGAGAGTTCCAGGACACACCTGGGGCTGTCCCAGGACTCACCTGCTCCCTCTGCCTCACCTGCTCTGGGTCTCACCTGGGCTCTCCAGGACACACCTGGCCCATGTCTCACCTGGCCCATGTCTCACCTGGTCCATGTCTCACCTGGGCTCTCCAGGACACACCTGGCCCATGTCTCACCTGGTCTGTCCATCTCTCACCTGGTCCATGTCTCACCTGGGCTCTCCAGGACACACCTGTCCATGTCTCACCTGTCTCAGATCCTGATTCTGGGTGTGATCGAGGTGGTGCTGGGGGGTTCCTCTCCATGTCTCACCTGTCCATGTCTCACCTGGCCCATGTCTCACCTGGCCCATGTCTCACCTGGGCTCTCCAGGACACACCTGGTCCGTGTCTCACCTGTCCATGTCTCACCTGGTCCATGTCTCACCTGGGCTCTCCAGGACACACCTGTCCATGTCTCACCTGGGCTCTCCAGGACACACCTGGCCCATGTCTCACCTCGTCTGTCCATGTCTCACCTGGTCCATGTCTCACCTGTCTCAGATCCTGATTCTGGGTGTGATTGAGGTGGTGCTAGGGGGTTCCTCTCCATGTCTCACCTGTCCATGTCTCACCTGCTCTGTCCATATCTCACCTGTCCGTGTCTCACCTGTGTCAGATCCTGATCCTGGATGTCATTGAGGTGGTACCAGGGGTACCTGGTGTGTCCATGTCTCACCTGTCTCACCTGTCCGTGTCTCACCTGTGTCAGATCCTGATCCTGGATGTCATTGAGGTGGTACCAGGGTTACCTGGTGTGTCCATGTCTCACCTGTCCATGTCTCACCTGTCCATGTCTCACCTGGTCTGTCCATGTCTCACCTGTCCGTGTCTCACCTGTCCATGTCTGACCTGGTCTGTCCATGTCTCACCTGTCCGTGTCTCACCTGTCCATGTCTCACCTGTCTCACCTGTGTCAGATCCTGATCCTGGACGTCATTGAGGTGGTACCAGGGTTACCTGGTGTGTCCATGTCTCACCTGTCTCACCTGTCCGTGTCTCACCTGTCAGATCCTGATCCTGGACGTCATTGAGGTGGTGATGAGGTGTCCGTGTCTCACCTGTGTCAGATCCTGATCCTGGATGCCATTGAGGTGGTACCAGGGGTACCTGGTGTGTCCGTGTCTCACCTGTCCATGTCTCACCTGTCTCACCTGTCCGTGTCTCACCTGTGTCAGATCCTGATCCTGGACGTCATTGAGGTGGTGATGAGGTGTCCATGTCTCACCTGTCTCACCTGTCCGTGTCTCACCTGTGTCAGATCCTGATCCTGGACGTCATTGAGGTGGTGATGAGGTGTCCATGTCTCACCTGTCTCACCTGTCCGTGTCTCACCTGTGTCAGATCCTGATCCTGGACGTCATTGAGGTGGTACCAGGGGTACCTGGTGTGTCCATGTCTCACCTGGTCTGTCCGTGTCTCACCTGTCTCACCTGTCAGATCCTGATCCTGGACGTCATTGAGGTGGTGCCGGAGCCGGGGCAGCCGCTGACCAAGAACAAGTTCAAGGTGCTCTACGAGAAGGAGCAGAAGGGACCCGTGACCGCCCTGTGCCACTGCCACGGATACCTGGTGTCTGCCATCGGGCAAAAGGTACACCTGGCACACCTGGGCACACCTGGGCACACACCTGGCACAGCTGGGTACACCTGGGCACACACCTGGGCACAGCTGGGTACACACCTGTGCCACTGCCACGGCTACCTGGTGTCTGCCATCGGCCAGAAGGTACCCCGGGCACACCTGGGCACACACCTGGCACACCTGGGGATATCCACAGACACACCTGGGTACACACCTGTGCCACTGCCACAGCTACCTGGTGTCTGCCATCGGGCAAAAGGTACCCCTGGCACACCTGGGCATATCCACAGACACACCTGGGCACACCTGGGCACACCTGGGGATCTCCACAGACACACCTGGGCACACCTGGGCACACCTGGGGATCTCCACAGACACACCTGGGTGCACACCTGTGTCACTGCCACAGCTACCTGGTGTCTGCCATCGGACAGAAGGTACACCTGGGCACACCTGAGCATATCCACAGACACACGTGGCACACCTGGGCACACACCTGGCACACCTGGGCACACCTGGGCATATCCACAGACACACCTGGGTACAGCTGGGTACACACCTGGGGATATCCACATACACACCTGGCACACCTGGGCACACCTGGGGGACACCTGTGGTGACCTGGGGCTGTCCCTGTGTCCCTTGAGGAGCCTCAAGGACAATGGGGTGATGGTGGTGGCCACTCAGCGTCACTTGGGTTTGGGTTGGTGACCTGAGGGGCCACCAGGGAGGTGTCAGAGGCCACCACAAGGTCAAGGAGCTCCATGGTGACCTGGGGGTGTCATTGTCCCCTCAGATCTTCCTGTGGGGCCTGAGGGACAACGAGCTGACCTTGGTGGCCACTCAACATCAGTTGGGTTTTGGCCAATGACCTGAGGGGCCACCAGGGAGGTGTCAGAGGCCACCACAAGGGCAAGGAGCTCCATGGTGACCTGGGGGTGTCCCCTCAGATCTTCCTGAGGAGCCTGAGGGACAATGGGCTCACCTTGGTGGCCACTCAGGGCTGGCTTGGTTCAGATTGGTGACCCAAGGGGCCACCACAAGGTCAAGGAGCTCCATGGTGACCTTGGGGTGTCATTGTCCCCTCAGATCTTCTGGTGGAACCTCATTAAGATCATGGTGGTGGCCACTCAGTGTTTGTTGGGTTTAGGTTGGGGTTGGTGACCTGAGGGGCCACCACAAGGTCAAGGAGCTCCATGGTGACCTTGAGGTGTCCCCTCAGATCTTCCTGTGGAGCCTGAGGGACAACGGGCTGACCTTGGTGGCCACTCAGGGCTGGCTTGGTTCAGATTGGTGACCCAAGGGGCCACCACAAGGTCAAGGAGCTCCATGGTGACCTGGGCGTGTCCCTGTGTGTCCCCTGTGTCCCCTCAGATCTTCCTGAGGATCCTCAAGGACAATGGGCTGACCTTGGTGGCCACTCAGCATCACTTGGGTTTGGGTTGGTGACCTGAGGGGCCACCAGGGAGGTGTCAGAGGCCACCACAAGGTCAAGGAGCTCCATGGTGACCTCGGGGTGTCATTGTCCCCTCAGATCTTCCTGTGGGGCCTCAAGGACAATGAGATGATGGTGGTGGCCACTCAGTGCTGGTTTGGTTCAGATTGGTTCCTGAGGGGCCACCACAAGGTCAAGGAGCTCCATGATGACCTGGGGGTGGCATTGTCCTCTCAGATCTTCCTGTGGGGCCTGAGGGACAACGAGCTGACCTTGGTGGCCACTCAACATCAGTTGGGTTTTGGCCAATGACCTGAGGGGCCACCAGGGAGGTGTCAGAGGGCACCACAAGGTCAAGGAGCTCCATGGTGACCTTGAGGTGTCCCCTCAGATCTTCCTGAGGAGCCTGAGGGACAATGGGCTGACCTTGGTGGCCACTCAGGGCTGGTTTGGTTCAGATTGGTGACCCGAGGGGCCACCACAAGGTCAAGGAGCTCCATGGTGACCTGGGGGTGTCCCTGTGTGTCCCTGTGTCCTCTCAGATCTTCCTGAGGAGCCTGAAGGACAACGAGCTAACCTTGGTGGTCACTCAATGTTGGGTTTAGATTGGTGACCTGAGGGGCCACCAAGGAGGTGTCAGAGGCCACCACAAGGTCAAGGAGCTCCATGGTGACCTTGAGGTGTCCCCTCAGATCTTCCTGAGGATCCTCAAGGACAATGGGCTGACCTTGGTGGCCACTCAGCATCAGTTGGGTTTGGGTTGGTGACCTGAGGGGCCACCAGGGAGGTGTCAGAGGCCACCACAAGGTCAAGGAGCTCCATGGTGACCTGGGGGTGTCCCTGTGTGTCCCTGTGTCCCCTCAGATCTTCCTGTGGAGCCTGAAGGACAATGGGCTGACCTTGGTGGCCATTCAACATCACTTGGGTTTGGGTTGGTGACCTGAGGGGCCACCAAGGAGGTGTCAGAGGCCACCACAAGGTCAAGGAGCTCCATGGTGACCTCGGGGTGTCCCTGTGTGTCCCCTGTGTCCCCTCAGATCTTCCTGTGGAGCCTGAAGGACAACGAGCTGACGGGCATGGCGTTCATCGACACGCAGCTCTACATCCACCAGATGATCAGCGTCAAGAGCTTCATCCTGGCCGCCGACCTCATGAAGAGCATCTCGCTGCTGCGCTACCAGGAGGAGAGCAAGACCCTGTCCCTCGTCAGCCGGGTCAGGAACCGCCGCAGCAAACACACCTGGGGACAGCAGACACACCTGGGGACAGCAAACACACCTGGGGACAGCAAACAGGAAATGGGGACAGCAAACACACCTGGGGACAGCAGACACAACTGGGGACAGCAGACACACCTGGGGACAGCAAACACACCTTGGGGTCACCAAACACACCTGGGGACAGCAAACACAACATGGGGACAGCAAACACACCTGGGGGACAGCAAAGACAGAATGGGGACAGCAAACACACCTGGGGACAGCAGACACACCTGGGGACAGCAAACACACCTGGGGACAGCAAACACACCTGGGGGACAGCAAACACAACATGGGGACAGCAGACACACCTGGGGACAGCAGACACACCTGGGGACAGCAGACACACCTGGGGACAGCAGACACACCTGGGGACAGCAAACACACCTGGGGACAGCAGACACAACATGGGGACAGCAAACACACCTGGGGACAGCAAACACAACATGGGGACAGCAAACACACCTGGGGACAGCAGACACACCTGGGGACAGCAAACACACCTGGGGACAGCAAACACAACATGGGGACAGCAAACACACCTGGGGACAGCAAACACACCTGGGGACAGCAAACACACCTGGGGGACAGCAAACACAAAATGGGGACAACAAACACAAAATGGGGACAACAAACACACCTGGGGACAGCAAACAGGAAATGGGGACAGCAAAGACACCTGGGGACAGCAAACACACCTGGGGACAGCAGACACAGAATGGGGACAGCAAACACAACATGGGGACAACAAACACACCTGGGGACAGCAGACACACCTGGGGGACAGCAAACACACCTTGGGGTCACCAAACACACCTGGGGACAGCAAACACACCTGGGGACAGCAAACACACCTGGGGACAGCGAACACACCTGGGGACAGCAGACACAAAATGGGGACAGCAAACACACCTGGGGACAGCAAACACACCTGGGGACAGCGAACACACCTGGGGACAGCAGACACAAAATGGGGACAGCAAACACACCTGGAGACAGCAAACACACCTGGGGGACAGCAGACACACCTGGGGACAGCAAACACACCTGGGGACAGCAAAGACAAAATGGGGACAGCAAACACAACATGGGGACAGCAAACAGGAAATGGGGACAGCAAACACACCTGGGGACAGCAAACACAACATGGGGACAGCAAACACAACATGGGGACACCAAACACAACATGGGGACAGCAGACACACCTGGGGACAGCAGACACACCTGGGGACAGCAAACGCAACATGGGGACAGCAAACACAGAATGGGGACAGCAGACACACCTGGGGACACCAAACACAAAATGGGGACAGCAAACATAAAATGGGGACAGCAGACACACCTGGGGACAGCAGACACACCTGGGGACAGCAAACACACCTGGGGGACAGCAGACACACCTGGGGACAGCAGACACACCTGGGGACACCAAACACAAAATGGGGACAGCAAACATAAAATGGGGACAGCAGACACACCTGGGGACAGCAAACACACCTGGGGACAGCAAACACAGAATGGGGACAGCAAACACACCTGGGGGACAGCAAACACACCTGGGGACAGCAAACACAGAATGGGGACAGCAAACACACCTGGGGGACAGCAAAGACAGAATGGGGACAGCAAACACACCTGGGGACAGCAAACACAGAATGGGGACAGCAAACACACCTGGGGACAGCAAACACACCTGGGGGACAGCAGACACACCTGGGGACAGCAAACACAAAATGGGGACAGCAAACACACCTGGGGACAGCAGACACACCTGGGGACAGCAAACACAAAATGGGGACAGCAAACACACCTGGGGACAGCAAACACACCTGGGGACAGCAGACATAACATGGGGACAGCAGACACAACATGGGGACAGCAGACATACCTGGGGACAGCGAACACACCTGGGGACAGCAGACACAAAATGGGGACAGCAAACACACCTGGAGACAGCAAACACACCTGGGGACAGCAAACACACCTGGGGGACAGCAGACACACCATGGGGACACCAAACACACCTGGGGACAGCAAACACAACATGGGGACACCAAACACACCTGGGGACAGCAAACACACCTGGGGGACAGCAAACACACCATGGGGACAGCAGACACACCTGGGGACAGCAGACACACCTGGGGACACCAAACACACCTGGGGGACAGCAAACACAGAATGGGGGACAGCAGACACAGAATGGGGACAGCAAACACAACATGGGGACAGCAAACACACCTGGGGGACAGCAAAGACAGAATGGGGACAGCAAACACACCTGGGGACAGCAGACACACCTGGGGACAGCAAACACACCATGGGGACAGCAGACACAGAATGGGGACAGCAAACACACCTGGGGACACCAAACACAACATGGGGACAGCAAACACACCTGGGGACAGCAGACACACCTGGGGACAGCAAACACACCTGGGGGACAGCAGACACAGAATGGGGACACCAAACACACCTGGGGACACCAAACACAACATGGGGACAGCAAACACACCTGGGGACAGCAAACACAAAATGGGGACAGCAAAGACAAAATGGGGACAGCAAACACAACATGGGGACAGCAAACAGGAAATGGGGACAGCAAACACACCTGGGGACAGCAGACACAACATGGGGACAGCAAACACAACATGGGGACACCAAACACAACATGGGGGACACCAAACACAAAATGGGGGACACCAAACCTGCCTTGGGGACACCAAATACGAAATGGGGACACCAAACCTGTCATGGGGTCACCAAACACACCTGGGGGACACCAAACTGCCATGGGGACACCAAACACACCTTGGGGACACCAAACCCTCTTTGGGGTCACAAAACACACCTTGGGGACACCAAACACACCTTGGGGTCACCAAAGACGCCATGGGGTCACCAAACACACCTTGGGGACACCAAACTGCCATGGAGGTTTTAGGTGACACCTGAAGGTCCTGGGGACACCTGAGGGGTTTAGGTGACACCTGAGGATCCTTGGGGACACCTGAGGGGTTTAGGTGACGCCTGAAGGTCCTGGGGACACCTGGGGGACACCTGGGGCTCTTGTAGAGCCTCTCGGAGGTGTCCAGGGCAGCCCAAGGCTCCGGAGGACACTCGGGGGTCACCTGGGGGGTCTCAGGGGGTGCCCAGGTGCCGCCCCTGGCACGGTGACGGTGACGGTGACGGTGACGGGGGTGTCCCTGCAGGACGCCAAGCCGCTGGAGGTCTACAGCGTGGACTTCATGGTGGACGGCACCCAGCTGGGATTCCTGGGTACGGTACGGGGTGGGCCGGGTGAGGCCTGGGTGGGGGCTGGCTGGGGTTTGGATGGATGTGGTTGGGTTTGGGTTGGGCTTGGTTGACCACAGTTGGGTTTGGATGGGCTTGGGTTGGGTTTGGGTGGAGTTTGGGTTGGGCTTGGTTGACCATAGTTGGGTTTGGTTGGGTTTGAGTTTGGGTTGAGGTTGGGTTGGGTTTGGTTGAGTTTGGGTGGTTTTGGGTTCGGTGTGGTGGGGTTGGGTTGAGTTTGGGTTGGGCTTGGTTGAGTTCAGTTGGGTTTGGTTGAGTTTGGGTGGGTTTCAGTTGAGTGCTGATGAGTTTGGGTTTGGTGGGGTTTGGTTGAGTTTGGGTTGGGCTTGGGTTGAATTTAGTTGGGTCTGGTTGGGTTTGGGTTGAATTTAGTTGGGTTTGGGTTTGATTTCATTGAGTTCAGTTGGGTTTGGATGGGTTTGGTTGGGCTTGGTTCAGTTATGGGAGGGGTTGGTTGGCCTTGGGTTGAGTTTGGGTTGGGTTGGGTTTGGTTGGGTTTGGTTGAGGTATGGGTAGGTTTGGTTGAGTTTAGTTTGGTTTGGGTTTGGTTTCATTGAGTTCAGTTGGGTTTGGATGGGTTTGGTTGGGCTTGGGTTGGGTTTGGTTGAGTTATGGGAGGGGTTGGTTGGCCTTGGGTTGAGTTTGGGTCTGGGTTGAGTTTGGGTGGGTTTGGTTGAGGTATGGGTGGGTTTGGTTGAGTTTGGTTTGGATTAGATTTAGTTGGGTTTGTTTTGGTCTGGTTGAGTTTGGGTTGAATTCAGTTGAGTTTGGCTCAGTTTAGTTGGGATTGAGTTGGGTTTGGGTTGGGTTTGGTTGGGTTCCATTGGGTTTGGGTTGGGTTTGGGTTTGGTTGGCCATAGTTGGGTTCAGTTGAGTTTGGTTGGGTTTGGGTTGAGTTCAAATGAGCTTGGGCTGGGTTTGGGTTGAGTCCAGTTGGGTGAATCTGAGTCAATACAGGTAAATTTTAATGAATCTGAGAAAATTTTGGTCAATTTTGGTAAATTTTGGTCAAACTCGGGTAAATTCAGGCTGACTTTACCCAACCCAACCTCCACAGTGTCGGACCGCGACCGGAACCTGCTGGTGTACATGTACCTGCCTGAAGGTGAGCGGGGCGGGGCCGGGCGGGCCCAGGTGAGCCCGGGTGAGCCCAGGTGAGCTCAGGCGAGCCCGGGCGAGCCCAGGTGAGCCCAGGTGAGCTCAGGTGAGCCCGGGCGGGCCCAGGTGAGCCCGGGTGAGCCCAGGTGAGCTCAGGCGAGCCCGGGCGAGCCCAGGTGAGCCCAGGTGAGCTCGGGTGAGCCCGGGTGAGCCCAGGTGAGCCCAGGTGAGCCCCGTGTGTGTCCCCCCAGCCAAGGAGTCCTTCGGGGGGCTGCGGCTGCTGCGCCGCGCCGACTTCCACGTGGGGGCGCACGTCAACACCTTCTGGCGCACGCCGTGCCGCGGGCACGCCGAGGGACCCAACCGGCGCAGCAGCACCTGGGAGAACAAACACATCACCTGGTTCGGTAGGGACACACCTGGGGACACCTGGGACACACCTGGGGACACCTGGGGACACACCTGGGGACACACCTGGGAGAACAAACACAGCACCTGGTTCGGTAGGGACACACCTGAGACACACCTGGGACACACCTGGGGACACACCTGGGGACACCTGGGACACACCTGGGGTGGGGACACACCTCGGAGAACAAGCACATCACCTGGTTCGGTAGGGACACACCTGGGGACACCTGGGGACACCTGGGAGAACAAACACAGCACCTGGTTCGGTAGGGACACACCTGGGGATGGGTGGGGACACACCTGGGACACACCTGGGAGAACAAACACATCACCTGGTTCGGTAGGGACACACCTGGGACACACCTGGGACACACCTGGGGACACCTGGGACACACCTGGGGACACCTGGGAGAACAAGCACAGCACCTGGTTCGGTAGGGACACACCTGGGACACACCTGGGACACACCTGGGAGAACAAGCACAGCACCTGGTTTGGTGGGGACACACCTGGGGACACCTGGGGACACCTGGGACACACCTGGGAGAACAAGCACAGCACCTGGTTCGGTGGGGACACACCTGGGACACACCTGGGACACACCTGGGACACACCTGGGACACACCTGGGAGAACAAGCACAGCACCTGGTTCGGTGGGGACACACCTGGGGTGGGGACACACCTGGGAGAACAAACACAGCACCTGGTTTGGTGAGCACACACCTGGGGACAGGTGGGACAGCTGGGATATGCCTGGGACACACCTGAGCACATCTGGGGTGGGGACACAGCTGGGACACACCTGGGGACAGGTGGGGATGGATGGGACAGCTGGGATACACCTGGGACACACCTGGGGATGGGTGGGGACACACCTGGGAGAGCAAGCACAGCACCTGGTTCGGTGAGGGACACACCTGGGGACACCTGGGGATACACCTGGGGACGGGGACACACCTGGAGACACACCTGGGGACACACCTGGGACGGGGACACACCTGGGGACAGGTGGGGACACCCCTGGGGACACCCCTGGGCTTTGGGGTGCAGGATCAGGTGCGGCCCTGGCTGCGGGGCTTTGGGGCATTTGGGATTTGCTGCACCTGGGATTGGAGCTGGGGTTTGGGGTTTTGGGGTTTGGGGTTTTGGGGTTTTGGGATTTGGGGTAGAATTTGGGGTTTGGGGACTTGGTGTTTCTGGGGTTTGGGGTTTCTGGGGTTTGGGGTGGGATTTTGCATTTTGGGATTTGCGGTTTCTGGATTTGGGGATTCTGGCTGGGATTTGGGGTAGAATTTGGGCTTAGGGGATTTGGGGTTTCTGGGATTTGGGGCTCTGGGGTTCAGCAGTCTGGGATTGGGGATTTCTGGAAATTGGGGTTTCTGGGATTTGGTGTTTTGGGCTTTGGAGTGCTGGGATTTGGGGTGGAATTTGGGGTTTTGAGATTTGGTGTTTCTGGGATGGAGGTGCCAGGATTTGGGATTTCTGAAATTTGGGGTTTCTGGCATTTGGGGTTGAATTCGGGGTTTTGGGATGGGGGTGGGATTTGGGGTGGGATTGGGGGTTTTGGTATTTGGGGTTTTGGGCTCAGGGTGGGATTTGGGCTGGGATTTAGGGTTTTGGCATTTGGGGTTTTGGGATTCGGGGTTTTGGCATTTGGGGTGGGATTTGGGGTTTTGGTGTTTGGGGTTTTGGGATCAGGGTGGGATTTGGGGTTTTGGGCTCGGGCTGGGATTTGGGGTTTTGGCATTTGGGGTTTTGGGATTTGGGATTTTGGGCTCGGGGTGGGACTTGAGGTTTTGGGCTCGGGGTGGCATTTGGGGTTTTGGTGTTTGGGGTTTTGGGATCAGGGTGGGATTTGGGGTTTTGGTGTTTGGGGTTTTGGGGCTCGGGCTGGGATTTGGGCTGGTATTTGGGGTTTTGGCTGCCCTGACGCGCCCGTCCCCGCAGCGACGCTGGACGGGGGCCTGGGGCTGCTGCTGCCCATGCAGGAGAAAACCTACAGGAGATTGCTGATGCTGCAGAACGCGCTGAGCTCCGCCCTGCCGCACCTGGCCGGCCTCAACCCCCGGGCATTCAGGTAAACCACACCTGGCACAGCTGGGATACACCTGGGTTACACCTTGGGAACACCTGGGATACACCTGGGCACAGCTGGGTACACCTGGGGCACACCTGAGCTCTGCCCTGCCGCACCTGGCCAGCCTCAACCCCCAGGCCTTCAGGTAAACAACACCTGGGGCACAGCTGGGGCACACCTGGGTACACACCTGGGATACACCTGGGGAACACCTGGGATACACCTGAGCTCCGCCCTGCCGCACCTGGCCGGCCTCAACCCCTGGGCCTTCAGGTAAACCACACCTGGCACAGCTGGGCACAGCTGGGTACACACCTGGGTACACCTGGGGAACACCTGGGATACACTTGGGCACACCTGAGCTCCGCCCTGCCACACCTGGCCGGCCTCAACCCCCGGGCATTCAGGTAAACGACACCTGGGACACACCTGGGAATATCCACAGACACACCTGGGCACAGCTGGGTACACCTGGGATACACCTGGGATACACCTGGGCACACCTGGGTACAGCTGGGTACACCTGGGGTACACCTGGGCACACCTGGGTACAGCTGGGTACACCTGGGGTACACCTGGGCACACCTGATCTCGCCCTGCCACACCTGTCCCCCACCTGTCCCTCACCTGTCCCCCCGTCCCTCACCTGTCCCATTGTCCCATCTCTCACCTGTCCTCCCATCCCTCACCTGTCCCAGCCATGTCCCACTCTTGTCCCTCACCTCTCCCACACCTGTCCCCCACCTCACCTGTCCCCCACCTATTCCACTTGTCCTTTATCCCTCACCTGTCCCATCTCACACCTGTCCCCATGTCCCTCACCTGTGTCCCATCCATCTCTCACCTGTCCCACCTGTGTCCCACCTGTCCCACCCATGTCCCACCTGTCCCTCACCTGTGTCCTACCTGTCCCACCTATGTCCCACTCGTGTCTCACCTGTCACACCTGTGTCACACTTGTCACACCTGTCTCACCTCACCCATGTCCCACCTGTCCCTCCCGTGTCTCACCCGTGTCCCACCTGTCCCTCCCCTGTCCCTCACCTGTGTCTATCTCACCTGTCCCTCACCTGTCCCCCCTGTCCCTCACCTGTCCCTCCCCTGTCCCTCACCTGTGTCTCCCCTGTCCCTCCCCCTGTCCCTCACCTGTCCCCCCTGTCGGCCCAGGCTGCTGCAGTCGGAGCGGCGGCTGCTGCAGAACGCGGTGAGGAACGTGCTGGACGGGGAGCTGCTGGGCAGGTACCTGTACCTGAGCGCCATGGAGAGGGCGGAGCTGGCCAAGAAAATCGGCACCACACCTGAGATCGTGAGTGCCACACACCTGGGCACAGGGGGGGACACCTGGGCATGGGGGACACACCTGGGCACAGGGGGGGACACCTGAGATCGTGAGTGGGGCACACCTGGGCATGGGGGGACACACCTGAGATCGTGAGTGGGACACACCTGGGCATGGGGGGGACACACCTGAGATCGTGAGTGGGGGACACACCTGGGCATGGGGGGACACACCTGGGCACGGGGACACACCTGAGATCGTGAGTGGGGCACACCTGGGCATGGGGGGACACACCTGAGATCGTGAGTGGGGGACACACCTGGGCATGGGGGACACACCTGAGATCGTGAGTGGGGGACACCTGGGCATGGGGGACACACCTGGGCATGGGGGACACACCTGAGATCGTGAGTGGGGCACACCTGGGCATGGGGGGACACACCTGAGATCGTGAGTGGGGGACACACCTGGGCATGGGGGGGACACCTGTGGGACGGGACAGGTGAGATTGGACAGGTGTGGGACAGGACAGGTGTGGGACAGGACAGGTGAGGGACGGGATAGGTGAGTTTGAGGTGAATTTTGGGACAGGTGAGGTTGCCCAGGTGAGGTTCAGATGCATTTTGGGACAGGTGAATTTTGGGTAAATTTTGGGACAGGTGAGGTTGGACCAGGTGAGTTTGGGGTGAATTTTGGGACAGGTGAGGTTGCCCAGGTGAGGTTCAGGTGCATTTTGGGACAGGTGAGGTACAGGTGAGGGACAGGTGAATTTTGCCCAGGTGAGTTTGAGGTGAATTTTGGGACAGGTGAGGTTGGACAGGTGAGGTTCAGGTGCACTTTGGGACAGGTGAATTTTTGGTGAATTTTGGGACAGGTGAGTTTGAGGTGAATTTTGGGACAGGTGAGGTGGGACAGGTGAGGTTCAGGTGAATTTTGGGACAGGTGAATTTTGGGACAGGTGAGGTTCAGGTGAATTTTGGGACAGGTGAATTTTGGGACAGGTGAGGTGGGACAGGTGCATTTTGGGACAGGTGAGGTTCAGGTGCATTTTGGGGCAGGTGAATTTTTGGTGAATTTTGGGGCAGGTGAGGTTGCCCAGGTGAGGTTCAGGTGCATTTTGGGGCAGGTGAGGTTGCCCAGGTGAGGTTCAGGTGAATTTTGGGTGAATTTTTGGTGAGTTTTGCCCAGGTGAGCCCCTGACCTCTCTCCCCTCCCCCACAGATCCTGGACGACCTCCTGGAGATCGACCGAGTCACCGCCCACTTCTGAGGGACCCAAAATACCCCCAAAATACCCCAAAATACCCAAAAATCACCCAAAAAATACCCCAAAATCACCCAAAAATACCCCCCAAAATACCCCCCAAAAATGCCCCCAAAATCACCCAAAATACCTCCAAAATACCCCCAAAAATACCCCCCAAAAATCCCCTCCCCCCAAAAAACAAAAATCCCAAAATTTCCCTCAAAAAGTTCCTAAAACCCCAAAAAAATTACCCCAAAAAATCCCCCAAATTTTTTTTACAAAACCCCTCAGAATTTCCCCCATAAAATCCCCCAAATTTTGCTACAAATCCCCAAGGAAAAAAAACAAAAAAACCAAAAATTTCTAAAAATAAAAAAAATCTCACAAAATTTTTTTTTTAATTCCCCAAAATCCCCCCCAAAAAATCCCCAAAATATCCCCTAAAAACCCCCCAAATTCCCCAAATTTTGCTACAAATCCCCAAGAAAAATAAAATAAAAATCCCCAAAAATCCCCAAAAAGGAAAAAAATTCTCCCTAAAAATCCCCCACAGAAATCCCCCCAAAAATCCCCCAAAAATTTTTTTAAAAAAATCCCAAAAATTGCCCCAAAAAATTCCCCAAAAGAAAAAAAAAAACCCAAAAACTCCCTAAAACCCCCGAAAAATTATTACAAAAAAAAAAAAAACCAAAAAAATTTTTTATAAAACCTTCCAAAATTTCCTAAAAAAAAATCCCCCAAAATCCCCAAATTTTGCTACAAATCCCTAAGGAAAAAAAAATCCCCAAAAATTTCCAATAATTAAAAAAAAAAACCTCCCAAAATTTTTTTTTAATTCCCCAAAATCCCCCCCAAAAAATCCCCTAAATGTCCCTTAAAAACCCTCAAAAATCCCCAAATTTTGCTACAAATCCCCCAAAAAATTCCCAAAAAAATCCCCAGAAAACCCCAAATTTCACCACAAATCCCAAAAAAGGTCCTCAAAAATCCCCAAAATTCCCCAAAAATCCCCAACCTCCCCAAAATCCCCGTTTGTAATAAAACACAATTTTCCACTCTGGTTTTGAGGTTTATTGGGGGAAATTTGGGGGAAATTTGGGGGAAACTGGGGGGGTTGAGGTAATTTTGGGGATTTTGGGGTAATTTTGGGGGATTTGGGGTTCACAGTGCCTTGGGGTTGTTCACAGTGAATTTTTGGGGAGGGGGTTTTGGGATTTTTGGTATTTTTGGGGGATTTTGGGGCAATTTTGGGGAGATTTTTGGTGGTTTGGGGGAGATTTTTGGGGTTTTTTTTCAGGTATTTTTGGGGCAGTTTTTCTCTTTTCCGGCTGCTTTTTTGGGCTGTTTTTCCTTTTTTGGGGCTGTTTTTCCTTTCTTGGGTTGTTTTTCCTTTTTTGGGCTGTTTTTCACCCAATTTTGGGAGGGTTTTTTTTATTTTCTTGTGGGTTTTGGGTGTTTTGTGATTTTCTGTTTTTCAGGTATTTCCAGGGGGGGTTCCGACGGTTTTTTTCTGGGTTTTTGGGCTGAATTTCGGCTCTTTTGGGGTATTTGGGGTAATTTTGGGGTATTTCCAATAATTCTGGAAATAATTTTGGCTGTTTCCGGCTGGGTTTTGGTTTTTTCAGGTATTTTCAGGTGTTTTTTTCTGTTTCTGGCTGGTTTGGGGACATTTTTGGGGTTTTTCCAGCTGTTTTTCAGATCTTGTCCAGGTTTTGGTTTTTTTTGTGGTTTTCAGATTTTTTTTTCTGCTTTTTTGGCTGAATTTTGGTTCTTTTTTTGGGTATTTTGGCTGTTCCTGGCTGTTTTTCAGGTATTTTCAGGTGTTTTTTACTATTTCTGGCCGATTTTTGGGTACTTTTCTGCTGGTTTGGGTGTTTCCAGCTGGTTTTAGGCCATTTTTACCTTTTCCAGCTGAATTTTGGGGCATTTTTGGCTGTTTTTTGCCCTTTTTCAGGTATTCCCAGGTGGTTTTGGGGAATTCTCAGATGTTTTTTTTCCTGGTGTTTTTTCAGCTGAATTTTGGGGTTTTTTTCAGGTATTTTTGGGTGTTTCCGGCTGTTTTTTGCCATTTTTCAGGTATTTTGGGTGTTTTTACCGTTTCTGGCTGATTTAGGGGGGATTTTTTCCCGTTTTGGGCGTTTTTCAGGCGCTTTCTGGGTGTCTCTGGCCGCTTTTTGGGGGATTTCGGGTCTTTCCAGCTGATTCTGGGCCATTTTCAGGTGCTCCTGGCCACGTTTTTGGGTGGTTTCCGCTGGGTTTTGGTGTTTCTGGTTTGGTTTTCAGGTGTTCTCAATTCTTTCCAACCGATTTTGGGGCGATTTTTGGGTGTTTCAGCTGATTTTGGGGCTATTTTGGGGTATTTCAGCTGATTTTGGGGCTATTTTGGGGTATTTCAGCTGATTTTTGGGGCTATTTTCGGGTGTTTCCAACCAGTTTTGGGAGATTTTTGGGGTGTTTTGGGGTGTCTCCGGTTGTTTTTTCGGGTGTTCTCAGGTGTTCCCAGCTGATTTTGGGGCACTTTGTGTGTTCCCAGCTGATTTTGGGGTATTTGAGTTGTTCCCATCCCATTTTTGGGATATTTTCAGCATTCCCAGCCCATTTTTGGGGTATTTCAGCCGTTCCCAGCAGCTTTTTGGGGTATTTTTGTTGCTTTTGGGTGTTCCTGGTTGTTTTTCACACATTCCCAGGTGTTCCCAGCCAATCTTGGGGTATTCTGGGCATTCCCAGCCGCTTTTTGGGGTATTTTGGGGTAGTTTCGAGTGTTTCCTGTTGTTTTTCACACATTCTCAGCTGTTCCCAGCTGATTTTGGGGTGTTCCCAGCCCAATTTTGGGGTATTTTCAGCATTCCCATCCCATTTTTGGGGCGTTTTCAGCATTCCCAGCCCATTTTTGGGGTATTTTCAGGTGTTCCCAGCCGATTTTTGGGTATTTTGGGGCAATTCCAGCCGATTTTGGGTTATTTTTGAGTGTTCTCCACTGGTTTTCGGGGCATTCTGGCCGTTCCCAGCTGATTTGGGGCTGTTTCAGCTGTTCCTGGTTGTTTTCCGGATGTTCTCAGGTGTTCCCAGCCGACTTTTGGGTATTTTTGGGTGTTTCCCAGCCAGGTTTGGGAATATTTTGGGTGATTCCAGCCGATTTTGTGGGATTTTGGTTGTTCCCATCCAATTTTTGGGGCATTTTTCGCTTTTTCCAGATGGGTTTTGGGGCATTTTCAGGAGTTTCCAACCCATTTTTTGAGCGTTTTCAGGTGTTCCCACCCAGTCTTTGGGATTTTCTGCATTTCCATCCCATTTTGGGGATATTTTCTGCATTTCCATCCCATTTTCGGGGTGGTTTTTCGTTTTTTTTGGGTCTTTCTCGTTGTTTTTCAGCTGTTCTCAGGTGTTCCCACCCAATTTTTGGGATATCTTCAGGTGTTCCCACCCAATTTTGTAATATTTTTGAATATTCCCAGCCCATTTTTGGGATATTTTCAGCGTTCCTGGCCTGTTTTGTAGACGTTTCCATCCAATTTTTGGGGCATTTTCAGCATTCCCAGGTGGTTTTTGGGGGCGTTTCAGGTGTTCCCAGCCCATTTTTCGGGTATTTTGGCTGTTCCAATCCAATTTTTGGGGTATTTTCAGCATTCCCAGACCATTTTTGGGATATCTTCAGGTGTTCCCAGTTGGTTTTTCTGGTATTTTGGGGGATTTTTTTTGGTGCTTTTGGGTTTTTCTGGTTGTTTTTCAGATATTCTCAGGTGTTCCCAGCCCATTTTTGGACTATTTTCAGCATTCCCAGCCATTTTTGGGGTGTTCCAATCCAATTTCTGGGATATTTTCAGGTGTTCCCATCCTATTTTTTGGGTATATTCAGCATTCCCAGCCGTTTTTGGACTATTTTCACCATTCCCAGCCGTTTTTGGGGGTATTTTCAGCATTCCCGGGCTGTTTTTGGGGTGTTTCTAGCTGTTTTTGGGGTTATTTCAGCCGTTTTTGGGTTGTTTCCAGCCGATTTTTGGGGTATTTTCAGCCGATTTTGGGGTGTTTCCAGCCGTTTTTGGGGGGTATTTTCAGTATTCCCGGGCTGTTTCTGGGGTGTTTCAGCCGCTTTTGGGGTTATTTCAGCCGTTTCTGGGGTGTTTCCAGCCGTTTTTGGGCTGTTTCCAGCCGTTTCTGGGGTGTGTTTGTGGCGCCCCCGTCAGGCTCGCAGCAGGTGCTGCAGCTGCTCCCCCAGCGGCAGCGCCCCCCAGCGGCTCAGCAGCCGCAGCGCAGCCGCCGCCACCCGGAACCGGAGCCACTCCAGCCTGGGGGAGGGGACAGGGGGGGTCACCGGGGGGGACACACGGACCTGGGGAAGGGGGACACACCTGGGGGGGTCACACACATCTGGGGGGACAGGTGGGGTCACCTGGGGGGGGGGGGTCACATGGGGGGTCAGACGGACCTGGGGGGACAGGTGAGGTCACCTGGGGGGGGGGTCACAGACATCTGGGGGGCACAGGGGGGGTCACCTGGGGGGGGTCACACGGACCTGGGGGGCACGGGGGGGGGGGGGGGGGGGGATCACACACACCTGAGGAGGGGACAGGTGAGGTCACCTGAGGGGGTCACACGGACCTGGGGGGGTCAGGTGGGGGTCACCTGGAGGGGTCACATGGACCTGGGGGGGTCACACGGACCTGGGGGGGGGTCACACACACCTGGGGGGGGGACAGGTGAGGTCACCTGAGGGGATCACATGGACCTGGGGGGGGTCACACACACCTGAGGAGGGGACAGGTGGGGTCACCTGGCGGGGAGGGGGGGTCACACACACCTGGGGGGACAGGTGAGGTCACCTGAGGGTCACACACACCCCCCCACACACACACCTGAGCCCCTCCCCCACACCTGAGCCCCTCCCCCACACCAGAGCCCCTCCCCCAACTGAGCCCCTCCCCCTCACCTGAGCCCCTCCCCCCCTCACCTCATCCCTCCCCAACACACCTGAGCCCCCCTTACCTGAACCCCTCCCACTCCCACTTAAGCCCCTCCCACCTGAGCCCCTCCCCCTGACACCTGAGCCCCTCCCCCCGCCCCTCCCCCACACCTGAGCCCC